GTACAGCTGTTTCAGGGTGGCAATCTACTATCTCCGAAGCTTCCATGTTATATCTGGACAAGAAATCCTGTAAAGTTTCCCCTCTCCTCTGCCTAATAGTGAAGAGACTAGCGATAGTCTTTTTCTCCTTCTTATTACCGCAATACTGTGCTAGGAACATAGCGTATAGAGTTTCGTAATTCGAGATTGATTTGTGTGGCCTGTTCTTGAACCATTCCAATACGGCTCCAGTCAAACTGGTGGGGAAAACTTTACACATGAATGCATCGTTGTGATTATCCAGAACCATCTTTTGGGAGTAGTGATCGAGGTGGCGGGAAGGATCTCCCGTGCCATCGAACTAAGTGAAGGCTGGCATGGTGAATTTTTTAAGTCTTTCGATGTAGTATATCTGATCAATGAATGTAGTCTTCAACAGAGAGGCCTTGTGTTCCTTAGCCATCTGAGCAGATGTCTGTATCCTCAGGAGCTTCTTTTCATCAAAAACCTCCTGAACGACATCCTGAATGCCATTTGTCCACACTGTGAGCTTGCGGTTGGACTCGACCTGTTCGTCTTGTGTGCGCTGGGGGTGGTTGTCCAAGGCTACCTCTTTGGTTCTCGTCCTCTGCTCCTACTGACTCTCGTTGACTTGAGCTTCGTCTGTAGGAGGAACATTGTGGTTGAGGGGGACTCCCGCTGCATTGCCTAGTGGGGGTTGTGCTTCTATTTGCTCCATGGTTGTTTGGAGAGTATCATTCTTTTGTTGTAGTAACGCGATCTGAGCCGTACTGGCCTTGTTTGCTTGACGGAGAGTCTCAAATTGCTATAGGAACTCTTCGCGCATCTTCTGCATTAGTTCCATCTATTGATCGGCCGCGGCTGTGGATCCTCCAACTAACATCCAGGATCGTAGTCGCATAAACGATCTCTAATCACTCGGGGGGGTATATTTCTATACGTTTCCCACAGACGATGCCAAAGTGCATGTGCAAAAATTCGTTTAACTAAAAAGCCAAAAGAATAAATACAACTCACTCAAATAAAAGAACAATTAATAATAAGAACAATTCAGAGAAAAGCTTGTAAATGCTCGATGATCTTTATTGGAGGTCTATGCCTCTATTTATATACAAAAGAAGGTGGAATTATGGTAGGATTCGCTATGCTTGTCCTCCAATTCATTCCATATACAATTCTTTTCATACAAGGTTCTCTCCTTCAATTCTTTCCATATAGGATTCTTTACTATAAAGACTTATTCCTACGCAGAGTTTCCTTATAGAGTGATCCTTTGTCAAGGAGGATTTGATTAATCCTAACCGTACTTGCATTATAATTGTGAGTGGGCCGGATGAGTTTTTAGCAGGCCGAGAGGTTAATGTTTATAGCTTTGGGCCGATGATGTCTTTGCTTGGACTTGATCAAGACTGGGCTTTGGTGGGCTAGTAAAGAAATAATGGGATGATATCTTTTTTAATGATATGGCTGATTTCTATTGGTGGGGGATTTTTCCCTCCACAGCCACCTAAATGAAAATCAGTGAACCAGTAAAAAAAAAATTATGAAACCCTGCACCCAATAGGAAGGAGAAAAAGGAAAGGAATAAGCAAAAGAGTCTTTTACCTACAACTATAGAGATGACTTGTAAGGAGCCATGTTGAGCACCTACTCCGTAATCATACAATGCTCCATACATATTGAACGTTTTTATAATTCAATAACAAAATTCAGCACTTCCTCAAGAGCCCAGAACTGAAACTCATGAAAGCAACTCAAAACTGAATAACGTCATTCATGTAGTTTAAGAACTAAATATATATATATATATATATATATATAGCCAAAAGACATTTCAATTTACGAGTACTACGTAACTCTGAAATGTACACGATGCAAGAACTATATTTAAAAAAGAATCTCGGTTGGAGTGGTTTAAAATAAAAGCCAAACATATGAGCTTGACCATTCACGGAGGGGAAATTTTAGAGTAAAGGATAAAGAGAAAAATATGGTGTTCAACCCAACTCAAGAAGCCTTTTCCTGAACAAAACATAATTTGGTACTACCTTTAAAAAAATATTAGAGATTCCCTTTTACCAAATAATGGGTGTGGCAATGATGGGAGATAGCAACAATCAGATATGAAAATAAACCAATGAAAAAGCATTCTAAAAATTAAAAAAATAAAAGAGAGAGAGAGTCAAAGAGAGACAGTGGAAGGTATATAGCTCTCATCCAGAAGAACAGAAGCATTTCATGTTGACAATAGTCATGTTTGTTTTAAAAAACAGTTAGAGAGAGAGAATGAAGTAGTATAAGATGGTGATGGAGGTGGGGTTGAAATGTTGAATCAATGGTGACAGTCAACAACTGACCTCTTTATCTCCTCTACCACTCTAATTTCTCTCTAAACGACCAGCAGAGAAGGTGTCCACGGGCAGAAATAGGTGATAATAAGCTTAAAAGTAATGAGCTAAGAAAGAAAAAGAATAAATAGGTGCATGTGAAGTAAACCACTAGATTTGTTGTCAGATTCCTGACATTTTGATTGTGGACTGGTCGATTGGAGTGTTAAATTAGGATAAACAAAATTTTGCACCTATTTTGTTAAATTAGGATGTAAAAGGCCCATGCTCGTTAATAGCATCATCTCACGTGAAAGGCCAGGGAAAATTTTGCAAATTCATGTGATTTAACAAACCAAATGGCTGGTTGGTGTAATTTATCCTTCAAATCTGTGTTCAACACAATAAAGAAACATACAAAGATATTAAGCCCAAAATTGCAAGGATTTAAGCCTATAATAAAATTACAGAAGAAAAGAACCCTACACTAGCTTGCATCTTGTGATTGTGTTCGTTGTAGTCATCATTTGTGTTCATTTGTGATTGTGTTCGTTGTAGTCATTTGTGTTCATTTGTGATTGCGTTCATTGTGTTCAATTATGATATCATTTGTGTTCATTGAAATGGTTCTACATGAAGGCAACTAACAACAGAATTAACTAAATAGCTTGTGTGTAGTTGCAATGGCCAACATAGAAATTAGGTTTTTTTTCTCCTGGTCTGCCATGGAAGGGGAGGGGTAGAATTGAGGTGTCTCATTTTCCCCCTACCAAGCAAGGTCTCTAAACTGAAAATCAAGGTCTATGATGAATTATTCTAATAACATGTATTAAAAAAGAAATCAAGAAAAGATAGATAATATCATAAGGTCTCTCAGTGAACATTCACACCATCGAGTAAATATTATTTTTATACTTCCAAAAATTAAAAAATAAATAAAATTATATCATTCATCCCTGAACAAAAATGATATCATAATTTAACTTCTCTTATGATAAAAATTAGGACTTTATGATTAGTTTGATCATCATTTTATATAAAAAGATTGAAAAATATAGATATTCAATATTGAGACTCAATTATAAATTCAGTTACTAATTAGAGATATTTTTTCTATTAAATTTTTGGGTTAATTACACTTACACCCCTTCAGGTTAGGTCAAATCTCACCTAGATGAAGATTTTGGTTTTAACTTTCACTTACACCCCGAATTACTTTTTGGGCTCTGACACATTCGAATTGACCCAAATACCCCTATTTTTAAATCCAGTTTAATGCAAAAATATTTATAAACTTAAATGACAATAGTGCCCCTCTTTATTATTCTCTCTCTCTCTCTCCAACTCTCTAACTTGCACCATCATACACACAAGAAATAAAGGGGGAAAATATATAAAAGCCCAACACGACACCCCTATATGACTTCCATAGTCACATACTCTTGCTCCTCCTAGTAAATGATTAAACAGTGACCACCATCCAACCATTGACGATACATAATAGGAATTCTAGATGACCACCACAATATATTTTTATCTTTTTCTTTCTTTTTTTAATACTCGGGAGCAGCCTTTGTTGCAAATAATGCCAAAAATCACATTTGCATCTAAATAATGACATCTATTGACTATCATAATATATATGACTTCTATTGACCAGTGACCACCACCAAGAAGCTGCTTGATTAAATTTTGTAAGAATGGTTTCTTCTTTTTTCTTTTGTAAATAAAGGGTTTTTTTTCTTCTTAAACAATAGATGTAAATTGAGTCCGAAAGAAAGTCAAACCACTTTATGGTTAAAATATCCTCTCTTCTTCTTTATTTTTTTGAAAAGATGATTAATCCTCTCTAAACTCACGAAATTTCTAAAATATACAAGGATTTGAATATCCAACCATGTTTCTAAAAATCCAACATTTGTACTGAATAAAACTAAACATAAACAAGGAATACATTTTAACATTGGTCTCTGTTTTTCTTCACCACTGCCGTGGACTCCTCCATCACATATCTACACGACTCCATTATGTATATATATAGATAAAAGTATAATATATATATATACCCACACACACACAGAGTGAGAAAAAGAAGAGGGATTAAATTTTAGAATATTTTAGTTATTTAAAATAGGTCTTTTGGGGGTAGTTAAGTCATTTTATACATGAAACATAGTCAACAAAAAGTCAAAAGGGTAGTATTGTCATTTTACATGTAATAAGTGCTCGGACACCACTGAAAAGTAACTTTTGTAGCGTGAGTGAAATACGCAACCACTCTTCCAAATATGAGTAAAAGTAAAAACCAAAATCTTCATCTAGGTGAGATTTGATCTAAACTGAAGGGATGTCGGTGTAATTTACCCTAAATTTTATAACTTTGAAAGGATGTAAAGACAGTAAAAAATTGTTAAGTATTACGGGGCCAAAGATGTATACTAAAAGCGTACACAAAGAAAATAACAGGCCAGGGTACCATGGGCAGTGCGAAACCCCCGCACTGGCCCCCTCTTAAAAAAATACCAACCATTGTGTCGGTGAGCATGGATGTGTGAGTGTGCCTAGCATCACTTTCATATGACAGATGTTAATATGGTCATGTCTTTCATATGTGTGTGTGTGGGGGTATAGATGGATGGATATCTTTCATAGATATATATGACGAATATTTACCTCCCTCTTCTGGCAAATCTGAGGTCCATAATGTGAGATTATCCCTGAGAAGCTGCATGATAAGAGTGCTGTCCTTGTAGGAATCTTCATTCAGGCTATCAAGTTCAGCAATAGCCTCATCGAATGCTTGTTTCGCCAGGTGGCAAGCCCTGCGCAACACAGATAAGATTCACATAGACCCGAAAATAGGCAACTCAATATAGTGAATATAATATCCATAATTCCAAGCTAATGAAAATGTGAGAATAATTCGAACTGAATAAACCATATTAGAAGAAGAGAAAGGAATATGAAAGAGAATTAAAATGTTATAATCACCTTAATAAAAGCAAAACCTTTAATGTGTGTGCGTGACTGAATGTGTGTGTGTGTGTGAGTGAGAGAGAGAGAGAGAGAGAGATGCATGTCAACCTCTCGGGGGAGTTCAAAATCTCATAGTAAAACACTGAAAAATTCAAAGCCAGGCCAAGTCTGATTGGATGAGTGGGAGGCAGGTCTGAGGAAGCAGTACTACTGGCAGCCTGCGGCACAAACAATAGATCAATTTTCTGACCATCAGAAGACAACCAAGTAAAAAGAAACCCATTGAACATATCAGATTCCAACACAGTCGAGAAAAATAAAGTGATAAAACAGAGGTACAAGAAGATGCAGAAAAAATATAACAGAAACCACCTCATATGCCTTTAGTGACTGATCTGCCGCCTCTTTACGATCATTTCCCGATTTGAACTCGGCCAAATAACGATAGTAGTCTCCTTTCCTATAAATGAAATAAAAGAAATACAAACAAAGAAGAATTATCAGTAAAAGTATATGTTAGCAAGAAAAGGAAAAAAAATCTGGTGCATATTAAAGAGATCAAAGCCAATATCACTAGAACTTTCAAAAGAACTCCTATAATAAGAATGGAAAACTTGAAAAAGAGGTTAAACACATTACAAGGACCACCATCAAAAGCCCTCTCCACGTGTGCTTTGTACAGACACAATAGATCTCTTTAATGTTTACTATTTTTAAAAACACGTGATCAACGTCCACAGTTTATTCATACTTCATTTGTTCACTGAATAGATAAAAGTCACGACCTAGCAGCCATCCGTTAATTTAGGGTCATAGGGTGTCAGGAGGAAGACTAGGAACAGACCAATGTTTAAACATTATTTGCACAAAGTAGTTGACCTTAACTTCAAACCCGTGCAAGATCTCACGCTTGACAGTTCAAGCTATTTTACAACTACAGCAAGCAAGGGCCCATGGTTACCGGATAGATCCAGTTCAAATATTTAATCTAATCAAAATCAAATATCTTGTTAGTTTGTGAGAGTTCAAACATATTTTCATGTTATCCCTACCTAAATAAAACAAACCCCCCCCCCCCCCCCCCCACACACACACACACACACAAAGAAAAAAAAAAGAAAAAAGGAAGTCCCTTGATCGTTAAAATCTAGTGAAACTAAAAATGACTCACATCTTATAGTAAAAAACAGTTGATTCTCCTGATGAGGAAGATGGCAGGAGGTGATAGTCAATGACTGACAATATGTCATTGCATATCGTTGTTAATTCATCTTCAACCCTCTGTCTGTAATCCTTTATCCTCTTCACATTTTGTTCATGCCCCTTACCCTCCTCCTTTTGTTCAATGGAAGACAATATACGCCATGATGCCCTTCGTGCCCCAATGACATTCTTATACCCAACAGACACCAGATTTCTCTCCTCGACAGTCAGTTCCACATCCAATTTAGCAACTTTCTTCATTGCTTCAACCATTTCTGCAACAAGTGAAATGAAAAATATACAAACTTGAAATTTAACAAAGAATAAAGTGAACGGCAGAAAAAAGATTTATACGGTTTACAAATGCTCGGAAGGGATTAAGGAATAATAAAATCACCTTAAAATGTTTTCATAATTGAGGCCAAAGGTGATGCCTTTAAAAAAGTGCAACTAACAGAACTGTTATAACATATAAATTGCACCAAGAAGAAATCAATAGAAACACAACAAAGTCAATTCAGTGGTAAGTAGACAAGAATAATATGATCAATCAGTCCCTTGTGCTCCCTTATGGACAACTACAATCTAATTTTTGGTAAATTGTGTTAAAACTCAATTAGAGATGAAGTTGAATCCACTCATCTTAATTTCTTCTTTCTTGGATTTCCTCAAGTTCATCTAAGAAATTTTAAATGTATCAAATATATATAACTCATTGTGATTATGCTGATGTACTATATTTAAGCAATAAAATGCTATGAAAAGCATCAAAAGCTGAGGTAACATTTAGTAATGTTCTTTATTATTTTGTAAAAGCAAAAGAGTATCGAGTTCTGTTTGCACAAAAAAGTACTCTTTAAAAATAAATTCTATTTGAAAGCAAAATAATTTTTTTTGTTTTTTTTTTTCATGAGGAAAATGTTGTCATTTTGATTTATTTGTTGGGGCCACCTTACTGTCACAATCAAATCCATGCACATACACATATAAGAGCAAGCTTATATGCGTGCCTATATGGAAAAACACACATTCCTACATATGACACCATTTACAACTTGAACCTACAAAAGCCTTTATACAGACCTAAGTATACCTTTATATGTTTCTACATATTCACATAGATGCCTATATATACACCTAATCACATGGATCTCTATATGCATCATGCACTTACATACGTTTATATATGTCATATGCACACATATACAAATATGTGTAACAACATTTGCACATTAAGAATATATATCCGTCCAATGTCTATTTTATTTTTCAGTTATTGACTTTAATAAACCTTCCAAAAAATATTTTTAAAAAAGAAAAAAAAAAAAAAAAAATCACTTTTGAAAGAAAAGTATTATACGTTAACTTTTTTACATTATAATCTTAAATAAAGAGTAAATGACTTCAAAAAGTATTACCAAATGGTCCGGGACCGGAGCAGAGCGATCCCATACTCCCCAACATAAAAGTATAGAGTATATTTTAGATTTTTGGACAACCATAATTAAATACGAATTATTTTCCAAATTATTAACTAGACTAGCTAGACCATTCCCACCAAAATCTCGGCATTGCATTAGCATACAGAATAAAAACCAGAAGAAATTATAACTTCCAAATAAACATTTAATAATTTACAGGAAATTTTGTATATATCATGCTTCTAAAAATAAAATATTATATATATTTATCCCTAGTTAATAAAATATTATATTTAAAAAGAATTTTATTATTATTATTATTATTATTATTATTATTATTATTAATAGTGTATAGAGAGGGAGCTTATGTGATGCTCCTGTATATATACTGCATGTGCACGGGATTTGGCTCCCTTTAAATTTTGGTGTGTAATATTTATGGGAGGGAAAAAAAACCTTTATTACTGAATCAGTGAATCAGATATTTAGAATAATCCGATAAACATTTCCATTCAAAAAAATAATAATTAAACGTAATATGGAAATTAAAAACAAGGAACAGATAAAGTACAATTCTGAAATTTATTTTTAATATTAAAAAAATAAAAATAAATAAAAAGAATTTGTCACAAATATACATACTCACACACAGGGAAAACCTAATTGATGTAATTTAAACAGACCCCAGTATCTCTCTTCCCATTATGCAATTACTATTAAAGAGATACCAAAAAGAAAAAAGAAAAATAAAAAAAAAAAACAAAACATATATGAACATATACATTAGTTGATTGTAGCAGAAAGCAATACCATCGTATCTCTCAGCTTGCTCGGCAAGTCTGGCCAAGTAAACTTGCTGCTCTCGCTCCTTCTCCATCGCCGTTCTTCTCAAACTCTCTCTCTCCTCTGATAGAACTCTACACTTTCTCTCTCTTGAGGAACTTGTTTGGGGGTTTTGGTGGTAACTGCTTTTAGGAACAGTGTAGTTGATGAATTGGCCGTTGGATTGGAGCAAATGGGGTTAATGGGTACGATGGACGGTTATAATTTGACCTGGTGTGTATCAACAATGGTGAGACTTGAGCCCCCATGTTTCTGGCCGTTGGATTGTGGGGGCAGAGGATGGGATCAACAATGGTCGGTCGTTGACGTTGACTACGAATGCTGCTGACCGCTGTCAGACGATCAGGTTACTCTCACGCGCAGGTCAGGTGATGTTTTCCCGTTTTAGGCCGATGGGTTAATGTTTATTATGATATTCTCTGTTGTTTGTTGCAAATGATGTAATGTTGCGAAGCAAAATATAAAAATATGTTTGCTAACATTTATTTGTTAAGTAAAATAATTAAGGTCATTAATAATTTAAAGTAAGATTTAAAATGAGATTTCACTTCGGAGCATCAATGGACATATTATTTCACTTTGACAAGTTTAAATGTCATCTTATCTTTGAAAAGACGGCCAGAAACACAAATTAGTGTTTTAATTGATGTTTTCCCGTTATTTCACAACGGTAGCACACCCCCAAAATAAAATAAAAAATAAAATTCTTCCATGACCTTTTTAAACTAATTATTTTATTATTCAATACATTCTTTTACCAAGTTTTTATAGTTTGCTACCAAAATCTTGCAACAAATTTACATTACCAAATATGCTTCCGATCATTATTGAACACACTCCTCAACAAAAATGTTATTTCTTTTCCGGTCATTTTTTGTTTTAAGACGAGAAGACAAGACAAAACAAAAAATTATTAAAAATTTATTCACTTTTTTCTTAACTCTAGTAAAGAAAAATAATAATTTAATACGTTTTTTTTTCTTTTTCTTTTTTTTTTTTTTTTCTTATTTTAGGTTTTTTTTCTCTAGAGTCTAGCCAAACAAAAGAATAGAGAATTAGATAATCATTTTTCTATATATATATATATGTTTTTTTTATGTTTTTCCTTATACTTTCTGGTTTTTAATTATGCAAAAGAAGATAATCAAATTTCTTCTCTCACATTACCTTTACTTTGATAGATTTTACCATGTAATATAGTCACTTGCATGGTGATATTTTTCTAAAAACTTTTAAGAAAAATATGCTTCATATTTAAATGACATTCATATAATTTAATTGAAGTAAATTATTTAAAATTAAAAGCTTATCATAAAATAATCGCTTTAGTGAATTCCAAATTTCTATCAATATAGTTAAAACCAAGGATATAAATTGTTTTTTTTATTTTTATTATTATTATTATTTTTTTGTGGTCGGACAATAAAGATAATTTATATTGATAGGAATGGTGACAATGTTTTCCAACATAAAATTAGACATATTTTGGTGGAACATATTTTTCTCGGGATTTATGATGGGCAGAGAAATGGGACCATATGATATGAGTAAAATGACCAAAGAGGCATCAAGTGGGCATATAGGTCCCCTATCCACAATCACCACCCATAGGAAGTTGGTGATGGATCCATTGTTGTATGGGTCCCACTCCCCCAAAATCACAATCGGCTTTTGTTAGCTTTTCTTTTTCCTTACCAACGAATACGAGACTCACTGTATTACAATAAGTATCATGTCTCATTTCAAATTATTAATGTTACGTTTGGAAATTACGGCGAATTTTAAAAAATTTATTTTAAACTTTATACATGTGACTGATGAGAAAAATATTTTATTATTTTGTGTCATTAACTAATTATATTTGGTTACATAAATAAAAATATTTTATTTTAATAGATTATATTATTATGTCTAAATATCTAATAAAGATATACTAATACCTTGTCATTAATACAACTGGTGTAATTAAATTTTTCTCGACTAAGGGAATGCAAGAATATTTTTTTTTGAAAAAAAATTCTTAAAAGAGAGTATAGTTTCCTTGCAAAAGGGTGCAAGAGCCAGGGGTATTTTTGTAATTCAACATATTCATATTGAACGAGGATGAGTCAGCATTGTTAATTTGGAATTTTCCATAAATTAGTATGGGTCCAAATTTTTCACTATGATTTGCTTTTAGATCTTCCCGATGTCTGGTCTTGTTGATTTGGTCTCGGTTTTGAGCCCTGTAAGTACTCTCTTATATTATGAATATATATATATATATATATACACGGAGTATTTCATAATTGAATATAATTATAATATACTTGAATAAATGATACTGCAGATAAATCAAATAAATGAGAGCAAGAGCAAGAGCTTCTAACCACCATTTTAAAAATATATATTTAATAATAATCTGGAGGGACTAGCCAAAGATATTTTATTTTTGCTTATAATTAGTGAAACAAGATAATATACATATAGAGCAATGGCAAGGTATAGAATTCTTTTAAGGAGCAAAATAAAATTTCGAGAAAGACTTAAACATGTAACATAAGTAAGAATCATCTAACCTCATAAAATTAAGAAAAATAATTCTTAGGCCTATTTCTTAGACCAGACCAAGCCTACGAGTGCTTATCCAATGTTAGTGAATGGAATTATGGAATCCAAACTTGAATTTATCCACTATATTCAATGGATAAAAATCTTCTTTTAAGCCAAACAGCTTGGTTATCCATTATATGCAGCCTGAGAAATACAACCAAGTATCATTACTCTAAAATTAATAAAATAGGGTTCAAATTAACAAAACATTGACAAGTTGGAGGTGTTGCTTAGGAGCCACTCGTATTAACAAAATGAGTAATGGTAGGATCCTCGAATCGATTTTTTTGGCGACTCCAATAACTGGTGTCCAACACGGAATAAAATGAAATCTTAAGGTGTTTATAATTCAGTCATTGCCACATCAATCAGTTGTAAAAATCGACCAAACTTTTATCATTTTCCTAACAAAATTAGGCCAATTTCATATTTTTTGGATGGTAAAAAATAAATTGTAATCTGATATACAAAGACATGACTAAGTTAGAGGTGGCTGCAACAACAAATCATGGTAAGCTTTTCCACCTTACCAGGAAACACCAAAAGCTCTAACGAAACCCTAATGAGAGGTGGTCAACATCATTCAAAAAGTGCTCCTCACTCACATTAAAAATACTGCAGCCAAACCTTTAGCAGTAAAATCTGAGCAGTTATTACCACTGGGAACAGCTTCAGCGAGACGGTGAATTCAATTTCCTGTCGCAACCCGGCTGGTGCTTGCATCTCCGAATGAAACTGTAGCCAAGGACTTTGAAGCCCATGCCTTTGCATTCATTGCCCCTTCCTGTAAATTGCTTCTCTTGCTAGGTTCCTTCAAAGAATTGAACAACTGTATTGCCCGATTCAGATAGGCCTGAGGATGTTCCCACAAGCTCCTCAATCTTATGTTCATGATGTACCTTCTCCAAGCAAATCTAGCACATACACAAAAGGCTGGCAAAATAAAGTAGAACAACCTCAAAATAACAAATGCGGTGGCCAGTGCCAAATATGTTTCCTGCCGAAGCAAATTTTCTGGAGATCTAGCCCATGAGAATGGGCAGCTTTCCTGCTCATTCTCCTCATGTGTTTCGTGATTTGACGAGTGTCCAACATTGTCCAGGGATGTTCCATTCAACAATGCAGCCTTCATGCCTATCACCACAGGATATAATATTCTTTAGAAAGCCTATAGAAAAAATAAAGAGAAAAATACACCATAAAGAGAAGCGGGTTGATATTCTTCAGAATAATATGGCACATATTGCCAAGCGATGCAATTAGAAATGTAATTCCTGCACGCCCAAGCAGAAAAACAGAAGTAGAAACATTTCCTCTTACTATATAGAATGCTCTCTCTATGTCTCTCTCTCTCTCTCCAAAAGACACTACAAGACCTACAGCAGTAACAGCACTACATCCAACTACAAGAAAATGTTAGACAAGAAATGCATTTAATCAAGTTAATAAGGTCTACTAATGTATCAAAGGTTGATATTTTGATTTGCGTTTTAAGGACATATATTAGACATGATTCCTCTTTATATATATATATTTATAAATATATAAGCAACTCTCTTAAGTAACTAAATGGACACTTTTAGAGAAAATGCAAGATAACAATTGATTCCCATCTTAAATTATTTATATCAGATAGGAAGGGGGAAAACAAGAACTACATTCTTATCCAGATTGATATCATTTGAAAGCACCCTGGAGAGAGGCCTTACCAGTAATATCACTGTAGAAAGCAATGAGAGAACCTAGTGTCCGAGAGCCATGATAGCGCACACGCATGGTAGAATTTAAAAGGAAAAGAGTAGGAAATCCATGAACTCCATATTTTGAGAGTATGCTGAAGATAATTAATCAATGTTATTCTGAAGTTTCACAAGCAACATTCACAAAACACAAGTCCACTAAAAATATTGGTCTCCAAACCTTGGCCTGATAACTGATTCTTCAATTGCAAAATGGGGGATGGAGGGATACAAGGAAGACAGCATGGAGAAGCTTGGTCTAAAAGTTCCAGAGAAAGGGCACCAAGATGCATAGAAGAGAACGGCAACATAATCATGACTATTCTTGTGAACCATATTCAGAGCCCTCTGCAATGAAATTTCATCTCCCTTCACAACAGAAATGAACAAATGTCATCGGTATATATCAGAAAATATATTATCAAAAACACCTTTCCAATATAATTGTGGTTTTGCCACTAACTGTACATTATAGATAGAAAAAAGCGATTAGACTTTTAGGCATTAAGAATGTGGTCACAGGCATCCCATATCAACTTGTATCCATTTATATTGACTGCCAAAACACAATTAATTTCCACTACACCTTGTCAGATTATTTATCAAGCAACAATAGCTGAACCAAAAGAAACTCTTCAAAATGGATATGAAAAGGCAGCAAAAGATTTAAAAACAAATGAAGAAGATTTTGGCGCACAGTGGCTAATCACCACATTCCAGAAAGTTTTGCATTTTAGACGAAGGTTTTGAACTCTAGAGTTGCAAAGGTAATATAATATTATCACAGGTGCAGCCTGAACAGTAGTGATGTCAGCATAACTCTAAGAGTCTGCTTTAAACAAGTGTAGACACCAAAATTTTAATGGACTTTTGTTTTGACGAATTGACCCAATAAATTATTTAATTGGCCCAAACTTGGTCCACTTAAATTATTTAAGTAGCCCAGCCCAGATGATTAAATGAAAAGATAATTATTCCTAATAAAATATATTTGGAATAATTATTTTTATGGATAATTATCATAATATAGCCGGCCAGGCCCAGTTATGATTTTGTCCTTATCAGGAGAGGACACGTGTCATCATCCTATTAATCCAAGAAGCCTATAAATAGAGGCTTGGAGGAAGGAGAAAGATGGTCTAGAAATTTAGAGACTCGGAAATCTAGAGGGCCGGAAATCTAGAGGGACAGAAATTGAGAATTCCAGAGAGAGTAACAAAAGCTTTGCCGACATTCATCCCCAACACCCAAACCTGAAGGCGAAGAGCAACAAGCACATTAAAGCGTGCCGTTATTCATCAAAATTCCACGGTGATCAACAACAAGCACATCAAATCGTGCCGTTCTTCATAAAAATTCAACAGTTATCAACAACAAGTACACCAAAGTCGTGCCGTTCTTCTACAAATTCTTTAAAGGCGAAGAACAACAAGCACATCCAATCCAAAGTCGCGTCGTTCTTCCTCAAATTCAACAAAGAACAACAAGCACATCAAAATCATGCCATCCTTACTCCGTGATTCAACAAGTTTGAAGAATCACCAAACAACATTGTTCGAGATCAAGCTTCGTCAGCCCTCGATCAGAAATCATCAGCGGTCTTCCTCAATTACAAATACTTGAAGAAGATTGTCAATAACCCGATTCAAGATCAAGCTCCAACAAACCTTGGATCCAACCAATAAAGGAGATTGAATCAGAGGATATTTTCTTTCTTTTGTAAAGAATATCTCAGAGGATTGTACTCGAATTTCATAAATTAATAAATTATTATTTGCCCCATCTTTCGTTCTTTATTTGTAGACTACGAAATTTGTGTGTACCATCTGAAATATTCTTTACAAAAGAAAGAAAATATCCTCTGATTTGATCTCCTTTGGTTGGATCCAAGGGCTGTTGGAGCTTAATCTTGAATCGGGCTGTTAACAATCTTCTTCAAGTATTTGTAATTGAGGAAGACCGCTGATGATTTCTGATCGAGGGATGACGAAGCTTTGATCTCAAACAATGTTGTTTGGTGATTTTTTAAACTTGTTGAATCACGGAGAAAGGATGGCATGATTTTGATGTGCTTGTTGTTCTTTGTTGAATTTGAGGAAGTACGGCACGACTTTGGTTGTGCTTGTTGTTCATTGTTGAATTTGAGGAAGAACGGCACGACTTTGGATTGGATGTGCTTGTTGTTCTTCACCTTCAGAAGATTTGTTGTTGAATTTGTGGAAGAACGGCATGACTTTGGATATGCTTGTTGTTGTTCTTCTTCTTCAAGGCTTGGGTCCTTGAAGAAGAATGAATGTCAGCAGAACTTCTGTATTTCTCTCTGGAATTCTGGCCCTCTGGATTTCTGAATCTCTCAATTTCTGGACCCCTTCCTCAATCCTCCATGCTTCTATTTATAGACTTCTTGGATTAATAGAATGATGACATGTGTCCTTTCTTGATAAGGACATAATTATAACTGTGCCGAGCAGATTATATTGTGATAATTATCCATATATTGTGATAATTATTCATAAAAATAATTATTCCAATATATTTTATTAGGAATAATTATCTTTTTATTTAATCACCTGGACTGGGCTAATTAAATAATTTAAGTGGACCAAGGTTGGGCCAATTAAATAATTCAATTAAATATTAGACCCATATTTGATAGGTCAATTTGTCAGAACAAAAGTCCATTAAAATTTTAGTGTCTACAACAAGAACACGAAAGGGCCTAGAAATACACGACACAACTAATGTCAACCAGGCATACTTCTCTTATATAATACGGTCCAAATTACTTTGGTGGCAGTTCATTATGGCCATTTAGTCAGAGATGAGGCCTGCCCTGATGATTTTTAATTCTTTTAATGAGAACAAACATGAAATTCCCATGGGCAATGCGCAAGTTTCTTTTCCCTGATAAGAAATTAATCCGTAGAAAGGAAAAGAGGAGAGAGCAAGAGGAATCCTCAAACTGAAATTCAACTAATCACACGTCAAAAATCATTTCATCATTCAGAATTTTAAACCTCCATTGAAGCATAATAAGGGTGACTAGAGTGAATAGTTCAATCATTTACACAGCCAGACAATCTTGACATCAAAGAAAGACATATGAAAATACGGGGAAAAAAATCAGGGCCAGTTTAAGTCTATATTGTGAGAAAATAATACTGATTAGAGAAAGGAAAAATGAAAACAGTTTGAAAAAACTTAATTTGATTGAGTTTTTGAAAATTAAGTTAAGAGAGACTTGGAGCCTGTTTGTTCTGTTCCTTAGAAACGGTTTCGAAAAACAATGGAAAAAAAAGGATTTGAGAAAATTTAAGAAAGTGTTTTTTCTCTGACATATTATTATATTTATTAAATCAATTTCAAGAACACAGTTGTTAGAATATACTCGACTAAGCAAAATTTCATATTGATTTCTCTCTTTTTACTTTTATTTTTATTTCTGAGAACATAACATGTTGATCAGAAAACAGAGGCAAGATAGCCCTTAATCAAAGAACACTCTTTTTCTAATATTAAAAAACTCCGTTCTGTTTTTACTGTTCTTGGAAACTACTTCCAGATAGTAGAACCAAAAAGGCCTCAAATACTAGGGAAAATCTAGGTTACTCAAATTCAATCAGAAAAGGAAATGCCTTAAATGAAATGCTCCTGCATACTATATATCCTGTTTCAAAACCCAGATGCAAGTCTCAACTAAAAGTCTAAAACCAAAGTACTCAACCAAATAATGTTTTTTGGTAATCCAATTGTCTAGTAGACTCTAGGTTTTATTGCTTAGAATTGTTCTTAAGTTCCTTTTTATTTTCTCTATTTCCTTCAAAAAAGCGTTATTAAGAATAGTCCACCATTTGGTACAATTGCAACAGGATGCACCACTAAGCAGTGAGAAAGAGGTTTTTTATTTAATCGCAGCCACTTTAAACAAATAATGCAAAAAGTTATGCTGTGCCTGTTCACACCTTATGAAAAATGTATCGGCTTGACCAACACTTCAAGGTGGCCATTAAATTATTAGGACAAAAATATGAGTAAGCACATATGATGTCTGACAAGTTGGTGAGACTCAAGAAAGTAGGTTGCTATGATTTCTATGCAGCAACGAGTTGCCAGAATTTAAAATAAGCTGCAGGAATTTCTAGAGACCATGCGGCTATTGAGACAGTCGACCCAAATGAAATGATAACCAGCGGATGTGATAGTGATGGTGATTAATCTCCATCTCGACTCCCTCATAAATCATAATCCTTATCAATTTTTTGGAAGTAGCTTTACTAAAGTTTCACCCTTAAATAGAGTCCATAACCACACCACACAAATTTGAGGTTCAAAAAGGATATCATTCATATAAATTTCTGTTCGAAATTACACCTTGCGCCAAAAGCGACAACTATAATTTCAAGCTATCCACAAAATCCAAAAGATGCCACATAGATATTACCAATTCATGGCACGACTCAGCAATGTGAATCTCGTTTTACCATTTTGCTCTATACATCCCACATCTTGAGTAGAAATTTCACTTAGGATGATCAAATTCTTGGTCTACCACTAACTTCCATCCGCATGAATTTCCTCTTTCTAGGTTAAATAATACATGAGCTTAAGCAGCTGAAGTAACACACAGTCATTTCCTCCCTTCCCCCCCAAATTGATTTACCTCTTTCTAACTATGAAGTCATCACTAAATTGTTCTTTTTGGAAACATTAGTAATCAAAATTACAAACACATTGCAAAGGGTCCTAAGTCCTAACCACCCTCTATACAAAATCAATAAATTTCAATGCACACTACTATGTATCTATAAACTATAAAAAAAAAGTTAATAATTAGGACAGACATCATTAGCAATGCCCTCATACTCGTAATCATAGAATCAAATCATCTACCAACTTCCCCAAACAACAATTAAATTTCACAAAACATAAAATTGACAAAACAATAAAATATAGGGAAATCAAAATAGTAATAAAAACAAGAACTTTGCGCACCTCCTTGACGCCAACTGCATCAACAGATCGAAATGATTGTTCTCCATTGAAGGGGCAGCTCCCAGAATCTGCAAACCCTCGGCAAATGGAGTCCGCAAGGGAGTTTATAGGGCACATGATGGCCGACGACGACGACGAAGAAGCCCTAACCAGCTCGGTGCCGAAAAGAAGTAACACAACCAAACCCGATTCCCAAACCCTCATCTCCGTTTATTTGATCGATGAATTAGGACGGCGACGAAGACAACGATGAGGATCTTATTATGTATGTATTATGTATGATGAAACCCTAGAAATTAGGATTCATGACCCTCCAAAGAAAAGCCTAAATCATTTTGAGAGCGTGAGGACGAACTTTTTCACGGACACGATGAACTGAAATCAATCAATCAATCAATCAAGTTGGTCTTTGGGTTGATTGATTGATGATTGGATTTGTTGGATCGACCCAAATTGTGTTTTGTTGGATATACCACTACAAAAAATATAATAATAAAAAATTAATATAATACGATTGGGTTGTGTTTGTATGTGTTTTCCGAGATACTAGTATGTGTTGCGGAGTTTGATGGTTGTGTTGTATGGTTCGGAAGAGGAAAAGGGGTGAAGATAATCTGGTTGGGTGGGTGGGTGGGTGGGGTGCGCATGCTAGCTTTTCTTTTCAGGGTCCCTCCATCCAGGTCACTCGCTCTCTCTCCTGTCTGCAGAGACAGTGACTGTCACAATTTTTGTTAGACCGTGATGTAACTCTGCAATATTATTATTTTAATTTAAATTGATACAGCTTGTAGAGACTAAAATTTAGTGAGCTTTGATTTTAACGAATGGACCCATTAAATATAGGCCTAATGTTTAAATAAATTATTTAATTTACCAGGCTTGGTCTACTTAAATTATTTAATTAGCCCAACTCAGATAATTAAATGATTATCTTTAAGGATAATTATCACAATATAACCGGCCCGGCCCAGTTATAGTTTTTTCTTTATCAGGAGATAACACGTGTCATCATCCTATTAATCCAAGAAGCCTATAAATAGAGGCTTTGAGGAAGAAAAAGGGGAGAGAATTCAGAATTCAGAAGTCTACAAATTCAGACACAAATTCAGAATTCAGAAGTTCAGAGACTCAGAATTCCAGAGACTCAGAATTCAGACACAAATTCAGAATCGAAACCCAAAAGCGAAGAACATCAAGCACATCCAACAACGTGCCGTTCTTTATCAAATTTCACAGTAATTCAAGAACAAGCTCATGCAGCCCTTGGATCCAACCAACCAAAAACAAGGAGATCGAATCAGAGGACCATTCTTTTTTTGTAAAAGATATTACAAAGGACTGTACTCCACATTCATAAATTAATAAAATTCTATTTTGCTCCATATTTTGTTTCTATTGCAGACTTACAAAATTTGTGTGTACAAATTTATGGCACGCCCGGTGGGACAACCTTTGCCTCTCATCTCTTTCTCCTACCATCAAGTTTCTTTTCTATCAGATTCTATGGCTCCCCCTAAGATTCAGACAGACAAGAAAGCCCAAAAGAACATCGCTATTGCAAAGGTCGACGCTAAAGCCACCATGAAAAGTGGCACGAAGACCAAATTAAGCGATGGAAGTACCTTGACGGGCCCTGTGACACGTAGCAAGTCCCAGGCGATGACGTCATTCAAACTTCAGCAAGATGTGGTGAAAGCTAATCCTGCAACACCGGCGAACGTGAAAACTCAACATGTCAAAAACCTTGACATTGTTCCAGAGGAGGCTCCACCACCAGATTCACTTCGTTCTATCTATGATGCTCACTCTAGTGTCGGTTCACCCCCAGAGTCACCACGTCAGACTTCGGAGCAATCAATCACTTCAAGGAACGTGGATTCTCAAGGCCTATCATACTCAGATGTGGTTGCTGCTATGATGACTGGAGCTGCTACGGTGGAGGAACAACTAGCAACTATGGCTTATTCCATTGAGAACCTCACAAAAACTATTGAAGAAAAGGACTTGCAAATCGCTACAATAATGAATAAATTGGAAGTTCAGACCTTCGGTGAAACACCAATGCCATCCGGGAATCGTGCAACTTTCACACCACCACCGTCTGGGAAACCTACATCTTCCACAGCAATACTAACGGAGAATCCTAATTCTATAGCACAAGGTACTCACAGGGAGAATCCCAAACAGACGCCGGTGACAGAACAAGCGACCAGTCAAAACCAGACGCCGGGGATAGAACAGGCGACTGGTCAAACCAATCATACCTCTTCTTCAGTCTCTTCATTATCTGTCGAACAATTGCAAGATATGATAACGAATACAATCCGAGCTCAATATGGTGGTGTCTCACAGAGCACTCTCATGTACTCAAAGCCCTATACAAGGAGAATCGACAGTATGAGAATGCATGTAGGATACCAACCTCCGAAGATTCAGTAATTTGACGAAAAAGGTAACCCCGAACAACACATTGCCCATTTTGTCGAGACTTATAACAATGCCGGAACAGAGGGGGACTTACTAGTCAAACAGTTTGTCCGATCACTTAAAGGAAACGCGTTCGAGTGGTACACTGACCTAAAGTCAGAATCAATTGATAGTTGGGACCAGATGGAACAAGAATTCTTGAACAGGTTCTATAGAACTCGTCGTACTGTTAGTATGATAGAGTTGACTAACACGAAGCAATGGAAGGATGAGCCTGTAATCGACTACATTAATCGGTGGAGAGCCCTCAGTCTTGACTGCAAGGACAGTTTGTCAGAAGTATCTGCTGTGGAGATGTGTATGTAGGGAATGCATTGGGGCCTGCTCTACATTCTGCAAGGCATAAAACCTCGCACATTTGAGGAATTGGCTACGCGTGCCCATAACATGGAGATCAGTATGAAATCCCACGACGGCAAAAGTCCCGTGACTATAGAACCACGCAAAGATAAGAAGGACTGGAAGAAGGGCGACAAGTCATCAAAAAATGCGGCTAAAGATTCAATGGCTATCTCAACCACCCCAATCAAGATATCTGTTAAAGATGATAAGAAGGATGATAAAAAGCCTCGCCAGTTTCAAGAGAGGGAGAGACAGCATCCTAGGCTAAAGGAGTTAGAGAAGAAATAATACCCCTTCCCCGATTCCGATGTTCCTGGCATCTTGGAATGTTTACTTGAAAGTAAAGTTATAGAACTCCCTGAATGCAAACGTCCTCCAGAGATGGGACATATCAACGATCCAAAATACTGCAAATATCATCGCATTATCAGTCATCCAATTGAGAAGTGTTTTATCTTCAAGGAGGTGGTGATGAATCTGGCAAAACAAGGAAAAATCTTGTTGGATACAGACGAAGTTGTAACTTCAAATCATACTACTGCTACTTTGACAACCTCTGTCGTGGGGAGTGCTCGTTCTCAACCTTTAACTTCGGAGGTATCTTGCACAACTATCCAGTTTGGTTCATTGGAACCAATCCCAATCTATATTGGCCAAGGGAGTGTACGTGACATTTCAACATTTGGAAAGGTTTTTCCTCAGGATGATGAAGAATGATGGACTCTGGTGACAAGAAAGAAACCACGGAAGCAACAAGCTGATATTTTTCAGACTAATTATTCTGACAGAGGGCAAAGGAAGAAGAAACCCCAATATCACCATAAACAGTCTGGCCATAACAGAAAATGGGTCAAGAAGACACAGTCAACTAAACACACCTCTATAAGCAAAAAGAGTCAGAAGCCTATTACTTTGCAAGAGTTCTTTCCAAAAGGATACCTAAATGACGAAGTTGTAACAACTTACATGGTTTCAACTAAGAAAACAAGCCTTAATGATGAGAAGAACGAGGATCAAGATGAAGTCCAGACTGTAGAGAACCATAATACAGCCATCATTGAAAAATCTGATGATGATGAAGTGGTCAGAGGTACGTTTGAGTCATGTTGTGCACCAATTGTTTTCACGAACGAGGATCTTCAGTTGGGTTCGAAGCCGCACAATTGTCCTCTCTTCGTCTCCGGTTACATAAAAGAACGAAGAGTTACTCGTATTCTTGTTGATGGTGGCTCGGCGGTGAATCTAATGCCAAAATTTACGATGAAAAATCTTGGCATCACAATTGACGAGTTATCGCGTAGCCATCTTATTATTCAAGGTTTTAACCAAGGAGGACAGAGAGTTATCGGCATGATTCGGGCAAAGCTAACTATTGGCGAGCTCCAAGCAGACACCTTATTCCATGTGATTGATGCAAAAACATCCTACAATTTGTTGTTGGGAAGGCCTTAGATACATAGTAATGGCGTCATTCCATCGACTCTTCATCAGTGCTTCAAATTCTACAAAAATGGCGTACAAACGGTTGTGGCGGATCATAAGCCATTTATAGAGGCAGAATCTCATTTTGCCGATGCCAAGTTCTATATCGATCATGATACACCTTCGGAAGTGCCCATCCCAAGCCTTCCGTCTACACAAGGATTCAATCTACAAAAGCAAAAGAAGCATTAAGTGATCCACTAGACGTTTCAGTGACAGACATTGTAAAGGTAGCTAAAACGCGAGGGGTCTCGATAAAAGCACATCGGACGAAACCTATTTTAAAGTATGTTCCAAAATCTCAGCGACAAGAAGGGCAGGCACCTGTTATCGAGATAATTGAAACTAAGGAATTTAAATTAAAGATGTCACAAACCAAGGAAAAAGAAGATATGCAAAAGCTTAAAGGAGAGTTAACTCTTCCTCTCCCTAAGATTCAGAAGTCTTTGCCTTCCAAGTCTCCGTTAAAAGGGTTCGTGCGGCCTTCTCAATCTATGGTTGATCATTTATCACTTCCAAAACAAAGGACCGACGAAGGATTCGATCCTAAAGCATACCAACTCTTGGCTAAGTCGGGGTATGATTTTACAAATCCTGCAAGCCTTGGAAAACTGAATGCTGAGGTCACCGGTGAGAAGGTGCACGGCCTCAATGAGACACAGAAGAAGTTGAAAGATCAAGGGCATAAAATCATTTCACCTAAGTCTGGTCTCGGTTTCGTAGCTTCTGAGCCACTTCGGATTCAAATCACAAAGAGGGATAAGAAGTCAAGCACCTCATACATTGGGTTTGAAGAAGTTGAGGATGAACAAGATCAGCAGACTGGGCATCAAAAATCAGTCTTTGACCGTATAAGAGCTCCATGCGATCGAACATCTGTATTCAACAGGTTATCAAGCCGAGAATCAAATGTTTCAAGTTCTCATATCAGTAATTTGCCTCGTAACTCTGTTTTTAACAGAATGAGCTTTCATGACCAAGGAAGAAAATCTGCACAACCTCAATCTCGAAAGTTAGTATTTTCTCGAATTGGTACTATCCATGATGCACCACTAAAAAACAGCAAGATTGTGAAGTCAGAAGAAGCTAACATCGACGTGGTGAATAATAGTGAGGTTCAGAGCCTAGTGCCTTCGCGAATGAAACGTAAGACAGAGATAGATGTCACCAATGATGTTATATTGAAAGCTCGAAGGCGAACCATTGTATTTACTAATCAATCAGCAGAAGTGGATAGAATAGAAGGCACTGGCGAATCGTCTTGTGTTACTTCATACCACATCACTGTTGAAAAGGAACCTGACTGTGAACAACCAGATGATATCGAGAAAGCTCCACCAACACTAGAAGACGGGGGGCAGGCTACTGTTGATCAACTCAAAGAAATCAACTTAGGAACTGACGATCAACCCAAACCAGTTTTTGTTAGTGCATTCCTAAACCCCTCAGAAGAAAATGATTACTTTCAATTATTGTCTGAGTACAAGGATGTCTTTACTTGGACATACAAAGAGATGCCCGGTCTTGATCTTAAAATTGCAGTGCACATTCTCGCTGTCAAACGTGGGACACGTCCGATTAAGCAGTCTCAACGTTTCTTCCGTCCAGAGCTAGTTCCAAGGGTAGAGGAAGAACTCAACAAATTGATTGAAGTAGGGTTTGTCCGTGAGGTCAAATATCCAACATGGATTTCGAGCATTGTTCCAGTGAAGAAGAAAAATGGACAGATTCGAATCTGTGTGGACTTTCGTGATTTGAATGAGGCATGCCCAAAAGATGATTTTCCTCTTCCCATCCCTGAGCTCACTGTAGATGCAACCACTGGACATGAAGCTCTCTCTTTTATGGATTGTTACTCTGGGTACAATCAGATAAGAATGACTCCGAGGGACGAGGAGTTAACTGCCTTTCGCACTCCTAAAGGCATATATTGTAACAAAGTTATGCCCTTTGGACTAAAAAATGCGGGAGCAACATACCAGCGCGCTATGCAAAGGATCTTCGACGACATACTCCACAAGATTGTTGAATGTTATGTTGATGACTTGGTGGTTAAGACAAAAGAACGAAGAAATCATTTACAGGATTTACGTACTGTCTTTAATCGCCTTCGAAAATATCAACTTAAGATGAATCCCCTTAAATGTACATTTGGTGTGACTTCAGGGAAATTCCTGGGATACGTCGTACGTCATCGTGGTATTGAGATTGGTCCTAATAAAATTGAGGCCATTCAAAAGATGTCGCCACCAAAGAATTTACGTGAACTTAGAAGTTTACAAGGTCAACTTGCGTTCATTCGTCGGTTCATCTCAAATTTAGCGGGTCGTTGTCAGCCTTTTAACCGACTCCTAAAAAAAGATGTTCCATTTAATTGGGACCAATCATGCCAAAATGCTTTTGATAGCATCAAAAAGTACCTTCTCAATTCTCCGGTATTGGGAGCACCGGTACCTGGAAAGCCACTCATACTTTACATTGCTGCGCAAGAAGAATCGCTGGGTGCCTTACTTGCTCAGAATAATGAAGAATATAAAGAGAAGGCATTGTATTATTTAAGTCGCAGACTCACCCCGACGGAGCGAAATTATCCTCCAATTGAAAAAACATGCCTCGCATTTGTCTTCGCTTCTAAGAAATTGAGGCATTATTTCTTGGCTCATACGATACATCTTGTTATAAGGGCAGATCCTCTCAAAAATGTCATGTCTAAGCCGGTCCTTTCTGGACGATTGGCGAGGTGGTCAATTTTGTTTAACGAATTTGAAATTATTTATGTGCCACGAAAAGCAGTAAAAGGACAAGTCTTAGCTGATTTCTTAGCTGACCATCCTATTCCAGCCGATTGGGAAATTTCTGAAGATTTTCCTGATGAAGAAGTTTTCCTTGTGGACATCCTCCCTCCATGGATGATGTTTTTCGATGGGGCAGCACGATCAGATGGGGCTGAAGCAGGTGTAGTGTTTGTTTCTCCAAAGAGACATGTCATTCTATACTCTTTTGCACTTGCTGAAAACTGCTCAAATAATGTAGCTGAGTATCAAGCCTTGATTATCGGCCTTCAAATGGCGAATGAGATGAACATCACGGACCTCGAAATATATGGAGACTCTAAGTTGGTGATCAACCAACTTCTTAAAGAATATGAGGTTAAGAAAGATGATCTAGTACCGTACCATCGTTACGCCTCTCATTTGTTGGAACGGTTTGATAGCGTCATACTAGAGCACATTCCAAGAAAAGAAAATCGGATAGCTGATGCTTTGGCAAATTTGGCTACAACATTGGCGTTAACTGATGAAGACCTGGTTGATGTTCCTGTATGTCAAAGATGGGTCTTGCCACTAGGGGTGGCAAAGTTCGACACGACCCGCCAACACGACACATACACGACACGAGTTAAATGGGTAATGGGTTTACTATAAACGGGTTCGTGTCGTAAACGGGCTGATACGAATAACCCGTTTAGTTAAACGTGTCATGTTTGGGTTTATGTGGCTCAACCCGTTTAACCCGTTTAATTAAATGTGTCACCCGTGAACCCGTCTAACCCGTTACTTGTTTTGACCTGATTATTAGGGACATTTTGGTCATATTATTATTACACAAGAAACCCTATTAAGGCTGTTATACAAAATGAAAATATATCAACAAATTCAAGGTCCAGTCTCCAGACAACTCTTCCTTCACTCTTCCGTTTCTCTCTCAGACCTCTCGGTCGACGGTCTCTCCTCTTTCCTCTCTCTCTCTCTCTGAAAGATTCAACACCAGACAACTCCTTCTCTCTCTCAAATCCACACCACACCAGCATACCTCGAGCGACCAAGAAGTTCAAGAACACTACAGTCTACACTTCGAGCGAACCAGCGAAGAACACAAACCTTGAACAATCGAAGTAAGTTGTCTACTTTTCTTTAATTTTTTTGTCTTCTCTCTTTCAGATCTACTCTGAAAAAACAAGAGGTCGATTTTTTTTTGTTTTTCCTCTTTCACATCTACTTGAAAACAAGTTTTCTTTAAATTTTTTTTTTTCAGATTTACTTTTAAACATGTAATTATTTGTTATTGTTTATAGTAATGATTCTATTCTATTTATAGTTTTATGCTCTGTTACTGATTTTTACTCTTCTATATTAATTTCACTTAAATGTTTCGGTAATTGCCTAGTTACAGCATCAAGGTTGGAACTCATTGTTTATCTGGACATTGAAAATTTATAGTTTTATGTTTCTATTTACGAAATGGGTTTGTTGTTCAATTGAAGCTTCTTTATCTGGCCGTTAGGATAAATCAATTTGTTATAGGCTCGTTCCCTTGAAGCGATAATAATTTCAAACATGCAGTATAATTTTCTTCTGCGTTGCTACATGTTTTTAGCTTCAGCTCTGAAAGGTTGAAAAATTTCTCTGCAAATGTTGGTACCAATTTTAAATTTACTTTCTCGTTAATATGATAATTATACCTGAAGTAAGTCGTGTTAATTTACAGTAGTTTGTATACACAGTAGTTTGTATACGTTTGTGTTTATATTTGTGGCCAATGATGACTCTATAGACCTGTACCGACTGTGGAGATTTACTTAGCAAATATGCCTGGATAATTAAAAAGCCAAGAATGGCTATCAATTTTTATAGCTTTCTGACATGTACAGCTTTCTTTAGTACTCTTTTTTTCTTTCGATTTAGTTGAGCGTTTGTTGGGTTTTAAAAGTTAATGATACCACTTTCTTAGAAAAAGGATGTTAAATAAAAAGTTTCAAATGGTAATAAAAATTTGTACTTTTATGGTTACAAAAACAGAAAAATATACAAATAAAAAATGAAATGAGAAGTAATGATATTTAATAAAATTGAATAGAATATTATTATCCATTTTTTTTTCAATAATTTAGAATATTATTATCCGTTATGGGTTTATTCTTTGATTATTCGAATTTATACTTGTCTTAGTGCCAAAGATTTGCAATCCACCCTTTTGATGTAAGACGAATCTTAAAGTTGAAATGCTACTTGTGTTTGGGGTATAGAATATTAGAATGCTCTCTCATTCTAAAAGTTTGGCTAATAACGGTAACAAAATCAAGAATCCCCTGAGATTTTATGAGTACGTTAAGCATAAAATTTTGCTTTGAGACCCCCCATTCAATTCGGACAAAAAAAAAAAAAAAAAAGCTACTTTCCACATCAGCCCCCATAATTTTCTATTGTATGTGAATGTGATGGGTCCCATTTGTAATTGTACCCTATCAATATGTGAATACGGATTCAAAACTCTAAGTATGATACAGTTTTGATGGGAAGGCTTGACTAATCAACACCCACTGTGATGAGACATGCCCACATCATCCTTTTTCTTTATGACACAGCTTGGATTGCATAGTTATATAGTTGAAAGCTTTCTTTAGTACTCTTTTTTTCTTCCGATTCGTTATAGGCTCGTTCCTTTGAAGCAATTGTATTTTTAGAAAGGCTGAAACTTTTACGACATATGGGATATGGGAAAGGAAAAAAATAAAATAAAATAAAGAAGAGGATAATATCATAATAGTATGCCAATATGGTATGATCTAGTATTTTACGGTATATATCACGAATTTTTTTATTTTATTTTTTATTATTGTTTTGAATCCAACTGGTTGTGTTGATTAATTAGAAATCCAAGTGTAGGAGTATTTATTGTTTGCAACTGCAACAACACAATGAATACTGTACTGCTACCATTTAATGGATCCTTTTTAGAAATCTAAGAATAAACATTTCTACTTGCTGACAAAAATCTCTTTAATCATTTTTATTAAATTCTTTTATGGGCATTAATTTGTGAGGAATGAAATTCCCTCTATACAGATGGACTTTGAATTGAAATAATACGATTTCGCCATAAAAATGTTATCAGTAATGCAATAATATTAGTTTCTTTCCCTTTGCATATATGTGAAAAAACAGCATTCCCATACTATTTTACTACTACGCTCTCTACGTACTATAACAAATCATTATTATATATGTCCTCTTTATTAATTATTATATATGTTTGATTTGTTTATTTTTGGTAATATTTAGATGGATTCTGCCATGAGACTTGACGAAAGTGGATCAGAAGATGATCTTGATTTAATCGACCTTGAAGTGGATCAGAATGAAAATGCAGATGTGCAAGTGCAACCGAAAAAGAAACAGGACACGAAGCGCAAAAGAAAACTCACATCAAAAGTTTGGTTGCACTATGATATACTTCCACCCGGCAAAGACAAGAAAAGAAGATGCAGATGTAAGAAGTGTGGGATTGAGTATATTGCGGAGGGCAGGTATGGCACTGGTAATTTAAAGAGGCATATAGATTCGTGTGTTAGGAGGGATACACGGGACATAGGTCAGTTGCTTTTATCTCAGTCATCTGGATCCATATCTATGCGTGCTTCTAAGTTTGATTTTAATAAATTTTATTAGTTACTGAGTGCTGCTATCATTATGCATGATCTGCCATTTCAATTTGTTGAATATGAGGGCATTAGAAACATGTGTTGTTATTTAAATAAGGAGGCTCAGCCCGTAAGTAGGAACACAACCAAGGCTGACATATTAAGGATGTATAAAAATGAAAAGGGTAGGCTTCGACATATGTTGGAATCAACAAATGGTAGGATTTCTCTAACATCTGATTTGTGGTCTTCTCTGACTACTGATGGGTACTTATCTCTTACTGCACATTTTATTGATATGGATTGGCGCTTACAAAAAAGAGTTTTGAACTTCTCTTACATGCCATCACCACACAATGGTGTTGCTTTGACAGAAAAGATTTATGCATTGCTAACTAAATGGGGGATTAAAAAGAAACTATTTTCAATTACTCTAGACAATGCTTCTTCAAACTGTTCATTTGTTGAATTGTTGAAGTCTCAACTCAATTTGAATAATGCTTTATTAAGTGGTGGGGAGTTTTTTCACATTCGTTGTTGTGCACATATCTTAAATTTGATAGTGCAAGAGGGGTTAAAAGAGGTTGATGAATCTATCATAAAGATTCGTGAGAGTGTTAAATATGTCAAAGGTTCTTAAATGAGGAAACAAAAATTCTTGGAATGTGTCTCTCATGTTTCCTTAGAATGTAAAAGAGGGTTAAGGCAAGATGTTCCTACAAGATGGAATGCGACATATCTTATGCTTGAGTCTGCCATTTATTATCGTCGGGCTTTTTGTCATTTACAGTTGAGTGATTCAAATTACAAGTTCTGCCCATCTCAAGAGGAGTGGAGTAGGATAGAAAAGATTTACAAGTTCTTGACTATTTTTTATGATGTTACAAACATCTATTCTGGATCCAAGTATCCCACAGCAAACTTGTATTTTCCATCTGTGTTTTCGGTTCAATTGACGTTGCGAGAGGAAATGGATAGTAAGGATCAGTTTATGAGCAAGATGACAACTCAAATGTATTCAAAGTTTGCAAAGTATTGGTTTGATTATAGCATGATCCTTGCTATTGCTGTGATTTTAGATCCTAGATACAAGCTTGGGTTTGTTATTTTTAGCTATAACAAGCTTAATGGTGATAACAACATTGAGAACACACTAGTTCGTGATGCATTGTTTAACCTTTTTGATCAATATTTGTTGAATTCTCCTATGGCTTGTACCACTAAATCCACATCTTCACCAAATGATGAAAGTGGGAACCAGCAAGTTGATGAGGGACAGTTAACTAAAAAGTTCATTGATGTTATGAAGGTGAATAATACTTTTGTGAGATATTAAATTCATTTAATGCCTATTTTATTCATCACATCTATTTATTTTTTTACTTTTACCATTGATTGATCTATTTGTTTTTCTTAATTACTGTTATGTAGGAATTTGACTCATTTGAGAATGATAAATTGCTTGGAAATGCCCAAAAATCGGAGTTGGAACTCTATTTAGATGAACCAAAAATCAATAGAAATGCGAACCTTGACGTGCTTGCCTATTGGAAAGCCAATCAGTTTAGGTATCCAGTGCTTGCTCAAATGGCTCGTGATATATTGAGCATTCCAATCACTATAGTTGCTTCTGAGTTTGCGTTTAGTGTTGGTGGTCGGGTTCTTGATCAATATCGTAGTGCACTTAAACCAGAAAATGTGGAGGCTTTGGTATGCACGAGGGATTGGCTTTTTGGTTTGAAAGGTAAATAACTTATAATAAATTTCAAATTATATTTTTATTATTGCAGAAAATAGTGAAGTAATAAATTTTTTGTGTATGTTTTACTATAGATACAATGGAGCTTCAAGTGGATGACTTGATTGATAATGTGATGAAACTTAATATCAACAATGATGACCCTGCTGAAGGCCAATGTTCCACCAGTGTTAGCGTGACCGAACATTAAAATCTAGCTAGGTAAAAAAGCCCTCTACATTTGTTTTATTTTTCACATAATTTGTTACATGCATTCTTTTATATTTCAATCTGTTTTTTATATTATTATTATTATCTAAACTTATTTTACACTTACCTATTTTGTAGGAATTTCTACTTTTGGGTGTTTCAGAAAAGAGTGCATGCAAATTCCAGAAGGAAGTTTTTGAGTTGTGGATCTTTGGCTTTTAAGAAGATTACATGTTACTTGACATTTCTATTAAATATTTTTAGTTCGGTCTGTAATAACTTATGACTTATCTTTATTTCGGTGGTCTGTAACTTATGACTTGTGACTTAATCTTTATCTTTGGCTTTTAATCTCTCTTTTAGATGTTTGCTAGTATTTTAATCTTTGGCCACTTTAAACAGGTTAAACGGTAAACAGGTTAAACGGGTTAAACGAGTTAAACAGGTTAAACAGGTCGTTAAACAGGTCGTTTTTGGTGTGTCTAACACGACACGTTTATTAAACGGGTTACACGTGTCGTGTCGTGTTACCCGTTTAATAAACGTGTCGTGTTCGGGTTTAGGATATGTGACACGATTATTAATCGTGTCGTGTTCGGGTTGACCTGTTTAGTGTTATACCCCTACTTCGACACGACACGATTATGACACGCGAACCCGAATTGCCACCCCTACTTGCCACAAGTCTTGGAGGATAAATTTGAAGAAAGTAATGTGGTTTCTTGTTGGACACAAGAGGAAGAAGATTGGAGAATCCCTATCATTGATTATCTGGAATATGGAAAGCTTCCCGAAGACCTACGCCATAAGACTGAAATACGAAGGCGAGTACCTCGTTTCATCTATTACAACGATACATTGTATAGGCGTTCCTATGAGGGCCTTTTCCTTCGCTACCTTGGAAATGATGAAGCAACGCATGCAATGAAGGAGACACATTCTGAGATTTGTGGAGCTCATCAATCTGGTCCAAAGCTGCACTTTCGCGTCAAAAAAATGGGTTATTATTGGCCCACCATGGTCAAAGATTGCTTGGAGTATGCAAAAAGGTGTCAAGCCTGTCAATTCTATACCAACTTCATACACCAACCACTGGAACCATTACACCCTACTGTGACGTCATGGCCGTTCGATGCATAGGGATTAGATGTAGTTGGTCCTTTAGAAAAGTCTTCAAAAGGCCACTTGTATATCTTGGCTGCAATTGATTATTTTTCAAAATGGGCGGAAGCTGCACCCTATAAACATGTGAAAAAGGAAATAGTGGTTGACTTCATCAAATCCAACATTATTTATCGATATGGTGTCCCTCGATACATCATCACTGATAACGGGACGAATTTTAAAAACAGTTGGGTAACTGACCTTTGTGAGAAATTTGGATTCAAACAACGTAAATCCTCCATGTACAATGCCCCTGCAAATGGTCTTGCAGAAGCATTCAATAAGACTCTATGTGAGCTATTGAAGAAAGTAGTCAACCAAACAAAGCGAGATTGGCATGAGCGAATGGAAGAAGCATTATGGACATACCACACTACGCATCGGACACCTACTCAAGCAACTCCATATTCTCTGGTCTATGGCGTAGAAGCAGTTCTTCCATTGGAACAACAAATCCCTTCATTAAGGATAACCATACAAGAAGGTCTTACAAGTGAAGAAAATGCCATCTTACGTCTTCAAGAACTGGAAGCATTGGATGGAAAGAGATTAGAAGCTCAACAACAGTTAGAGTGTTATCAAGCTCGACTTTCTAAAGCGTTCAATAAGAAAGTTCGATCTCGGTCATTTCAAGTTCGAGACTTAGTATTAGCTGTTCGTAGACCGATTGTCATAAATCGCAAGGGAAATAAATTTGTATCCAAATGGGATGGACCGTATGTTGTTCGCGAAGTTTATACTAACGGCGCATATCTCATTATTGATGAAGACGGAGTAAGAGTGGGGCCCATTAATGGCAAATTCTTGAAGCGCTACTACCCATGAAGGCAATGCTCCTGATCGTACGAGCTTAAACTGCACTATGCTCCTGGCCTACATGAGTTAAAACTGTGATTGCCAAAAAAAAAAAAAAACCCTTATCTCTATTGAACTACGTGATGACTTGATCCCTCTTTTGAGGGTACGTAGGCAGCTTAGACTTTTATTCTAAGTTCAGTGCGCCCAAAACAAAAAAAAAAATATATATATATATATATATATATATATATATATATATTCTTTATAAACTCCTGACCCGCAAGAGTATAAACTGTGAATGGTGAAACAAATAAATAATGATAACGTCTTTGTAAATAAAATGGAGATAATAAATCATTTGTTTTATTCAAAATTACAACTTTTTTTTTGGAAAAAAAAATGATGATCAATACTAAAATTCCATAGCGATAATTTCGTCACGTTCTTGCCATAATATCTCTTCCAGTTGCTTCACTACTTCAAGATCGCGATTCGAGATGACGTTAGCTTCTTCTATTGATTTTCGATCTTCCCAAAGTTTGGTGATGGCTTCTTTCTTCTGAGATAACTGTGCATCCGTTGTCGATATGAGGACTTTAAGCCCTTGAGTCTCTTCCCTGGCTTCTTGCAATTCTTTAACTAATCTAGCTTCTTTAAATTCAGCTTCACTCAAACTAGATTGAAGTGATTCTATACGCTTAGCACCATCATCTTCTATAGACCTAGCGTTGGTGAGCTGTGCATCAATACTGGCCAATCGTTGGGATTGAGAGTCTGAAGTCATTATACAGGCATATGAAGAAGATGTAGCAATATAATTGGCCGCATTATTGGTATATGAGTCAATTCGCCTCTTCAAAGCTGAATGGTCTCCAGGGAGTTTTGCGAGTCCTTCATAAAGTGTTTGAAGTTTAGGTGCTCGAGACGGTATTTTATCGGTAGGAGTATCGCGTATGATATTCTTTATGAAATCAATAAAGAATAAAGCAGCACGACGATGAACATCAAGAACGACCTCTTCCGCATTGAAAATTGATATTTCAGAAGCGGCAACACGATGCAAGGGTGGACCCTGTTCTCTTAAAATCAAAGAAGGGATAACTACATGATCTTTACCAATATTTTTAACCACCTTCATAGCTTGACTAGTCACTTCAGCAACCCCCAAAACATCCGAGTGTTGACTAACTCTGCTTCTTTGTAGTGAAATCTCTGTACCTTTTCCTATCGCAGTGGCCAACTCTAACGCAGACGGTCCATAAATAGATTCTTCACTACATGTTGGGTTAGCAACAATGACGACATCTTCCCCAAGAAATCCCTTGCTGTCTTTTATCTATTAAAAAAATAATAATAAATAATGGTAATTTGCAGTACAAAAAAAAAATATATATATATATATATATATATATATATATATATATATATATATATATATAATAACAGTTACCTGTATAGGTTGTGAACTGCTAGGTACCCCAGTAAAAAATTGATCAAGAGAAGTGGCAACACATTCCTGTACTGAATCAAGTCTCACTTTGTCGGTGACATGCTTCCAGTTACGATCCTCATCATAAGCTTTCACATCCTCATCTAACTCCATTGACAACTGACGACGGCGACGGTTATTGATTAGTGGTGGGACATCTTCTGCTGTTTGGTGATGGCTACTAGATCCTCCAACAACGTCACAATCATTATGAGATTTGATGGTTAACTTTGGCACTGGCTTAGATGGGAGATTTGACTTCAGCCCCTTAATTAAAACCTTCCTGATTTTAGTTGGTTTCTCTGGTGGGGAAATCGTGCGTTTAAATGCTTTGAGGTAGTTTCTTTCTGTGTAAATGGATCAATATATACGCTGGACCATCATTTGGAATATGCTCTGGTAACTGAGGATTTTTGGTGGCTGAAGGTTGAAGGAAGCAACGCATCACAACCAGAAGAATAATGAACGGATGAGTTCCAATGCTTTAAAAATTCCTCTAAGGTGCAAGTACGAAAGTCATTTTTTTAATTTTCCAGGAATATCTTGATGGTACCCAAATTGTCGGCTAAATCTGTGTGGACTATACGGCTCAATGATAAGACAGTCATTTTGGCGCAATGTCAAATAACATGATCGAAGATTGATTAGGGTGTCAAAGTCAGCCTTTATCATCTCGCCATTATCTACAATAAATCGCTCTTTTGAAGATCTTTTAGCCATTCGAGTGAAGTTTATTCCTTTACATGATCTGAATAAATTTTGGGCTTCAAAATGGTCAAAGTATCTTGCTCCTCCTTCGCCTGCATATAATGTCATTCTAGGCCAATAGTTGGTATTAGGAATGGTGAAATTAGTTCTGAAATATTCACTCAACCATCCGAATACATAGTGAATAGGAAATATCGCAGAGCAGCTTCCAGGATCTGGTGAGGAAACAATCTCGTTCAAGCCTCTGTAAATACTGACCAGAACCGGGATGGAAAGACAAATGTTGCAGCCATCTGCTAACATGCTTGCGACCTTGAAAGTCCCAGGACGAATTATGTTGCCAAGGTGTGCAGGTAAGGCAAATTTGCAGAGCCAACATGCTAAAAAAGCAGCTAGATAAGTGGTGTCTCTCGATGTTTCATCTATACCAAGGTTGATAAATACTTCTTTCTCTTTGGTGGACATCGACCGGACAGGAGGGATCACACCAGACGGATTTTGGATCCTCATAGGGCGGTGAACTTTATTTTTTATTGATTTCTTTGAAGGTTTGACATGTCTTGATGCACCTTTAAACCAGAAATTAATCCAGTCAGATATCTTCACATTCTAATCTCCTTTATACTTCTTGGAAAGTCTGTGGAAGGCCAAAAATAGGTGTTGACAACTCAAAGGGACAGAATTTTTGTTGTTGCCAGCTCTTGATAGTTCATCTGCACAAGGAATAACTTCATCATAAATTGTTCCTTGGTGAGGGAGACCACCTAGCATATATAGATCTCGAAGAGAAATTGATAGCTCGCCAATAGAACAATGAAGTGTATTAGTGGCTGGGCACCAACATTCAAGGAATGCTTTGAATACATCTTCATGACGATCATAGGAAAATAGGGAGGCGAATAAAGCACCATATAGTTGTTGTTTTGATAGAAAGTCGTGGAAACGCGCCAAGACATCTTCTAACCACTCCCAATATAGTTCGGTGTATAGCAATTCAGCAGGAAGTTTATAGGGAATACTCCATGATATTTCCTTCGCCTGAACATTAAGACCCAATAGTGAAAACTGGTTTTCTTCAACAACTCTCTCATGAAGTGAAGAATTTAGTATCAAGGCTTTAGAGACAATAGATTCTTCATTAATCTGATCAGGACCAAAGTCGGTGAGTTCGCATGTGGCCGTGCATGTCCAATGAGATGAACAATGTTTATTGTTAGAATCAGGCACTTGAATAGCATTGCGACCAAAAAGTGAGTCATATACACTTAATGTCGTTCCTTGGACTCGTTGACTATTTTTGCTCTCTAAGATAGTTAGCTTTTGCTTTGCGAAACACTTGAACACCACCATGATGGATACCAAAGCTCAAATCGATGTTGTCTAGAAGGAGGATTCAATTTCTGCTACAGTTGACACAAATCAAGTTGTTATACCCAATCAAGCCCTGCAAAAAAAAAAAAGGGGGGTTAGAAAAAAAAAAAAAAAAAATCCAGCGTGCGTTGAGTGAAAAATATATATATATATATATATATATATATATATATATATATATATATATATATGTTCTCTTGCATGAGTGAAAAAAAAAAAAAAAAAAAATTGTTCTCCTACATGCGTGAAAAAAAAAAAAAAAAGCTCCAGCCAGCGTGGAGAAGAGAAGAGAAAAGAGAGAGAAAAAAAAAAAAGGAAAAAAGAAGAAAAAACACACGTACCAATTATTTAGGATCTGACAAGTTTTCAGAGATTTTTGGAATTGATATCAAACCCTACAATATTGAGGGTATATATAGGCAACAAGATACCTCCAAGTTGTATTGGGATTTGGACAATTCAATTTAAATAGGAAAGTACAATTAAGATGGAAAAAAAAAAAAAAAAAAAAAAAGAAACTTCAAGTCCCACTTGGAAAAAGAGACAAGTCTTGTCAAAATTGGGACTTGAAGTGGGGGCAATTTGTAGACACTAAAATTTAGTAGGCTTTGGTTTTAACGAATGGACCCATTAAATATAGGCCTAATGTTTAAATAAATTATTTAATTTACCAGGCTTGGTCTACTTAAATTATTTAATTAGCCCAGCCCAGATAATTAAATGAAACGATAATTATTCCTAATAAAATATATTTTGAATAATTATCTTTAAGGATAATTATCACAATATAACCGGCCTGACCCAGTTATAGTTTTTTCCTTATCAGGAGATGACACGTGTCATCATCCTATTAATCCAAGAAGCCTATAAATGCCTATAAATAGAGGCTTGGAGGAAGAAAAAGGGGAGAGGATTCAGAATTCAGAAGTCTACAAATTCAGACATAAATTCAGAATTCAGAAGTTCAGAGACTCAAAAATCCAGAGACTCAGAAGAATCGAAACCCAAAAGCCCAAAAGCGAAGAACATCAAGCACATCCAACAACGTGCCGTTCTTCATCAAATTCCACAGTGATTCAAGAACAAGCTCGTGCAGCCCTTGGATCCAACTAACCAAAAATAAGGAGATCGAATCAGAGGACCATTCTTTTTTTGTAAAAGATATTACAAAGGACTGTACTCCATATTCATAAATTAATAAAATTCTATTTTGCTCCATATTTTGTTTCTATTGCAGATTTACAAAATTTATGTGTACACAGCTAACGAATAACAATCAATTTTTATTTATTTTTCATTATTACTGTGTAGATTTGTAGCACCGGTAAAATCATTCCTTTTCAAAACCTATATTGTTGTTATTAATAGTATTATTATTAGAACATTGGTAACACAATATAAGTCAAGCTTTGTTTTTGGTAAGTGAATATATATTGTTTTTTGGGAAGGTATTTTGGTAAGTGAATACTTCAAGCTTAGCTCAGTTAATTTATTTATTATTTTATTTTTTTTGGCAAAAATCAACTTGGGCTTGAAATACAGATTGAAGCATCAATTTGTCCACGACTCCAGATTACCCCTAAACTCGAATACTCCTCCTATTTCAAAAAAAAAAAAAAAATCGGCTGTTTGGGGGAATCTAATTTTTGATTATAGTGAGTTTAAAATTTTTTTTTTTAATTGTATTGACAAGAATAAAATACAAAATAGCACTTTTTAATTAGTACACTTGTTTAGTCATCAAAATGATAGTTTGAGAATATCACAAAAAATAGTATATTAATTTTTTTAGTGTGACGTGTATTTTAGAACATCCCAAAATGAAAAGATGAACAAAAATTTAGAAACGGATGAAATATGATAATATGGCCACTAATAATCCTGTGACATGGTAGTATCTCTTCACCTCCAATGGAGGTTGATCAAATCCCAAAATAGAAATAGCAAAATGGTGTGTGTTTATTGTCAATAATATATATATATATATATATATATATATATATATATATATCTGATCTACAAGCCATTTTTCAAACTTAAAACGTATTAATTTAAAGAGGTGCACCATCTTTTAGCATAAAAAAAAATAATTTATTAAACAAGGACTTGCAAAGAGAAGACAAGGAGCAATATATTACGAAGAGGAGACAAGGAACAAGATATTACAAGGAACCCTTCATTGTAAATTGATCTGTCCTCATTTGATTGAAGATTCTTGGTCTACCAATTATTGGTGGACTTTAATCAATTATTAAGAAACATTTAGGATGCCTAAAATTTTTTTGGGAAATTTTTTTTGTATTTTTTAATGTTTAATTGTCATAAAATATTTACAAAGAAATAAAATATTAAAACCTAACAAAAAATAACCTATTTATCAATTTTCGGCAAACTATGTTCCACGCTCCACCCGATGAACTCGACCAAGACCTTTGCCAAATACCGAAAAACAAAAATAAAAAATATATTTGTCGTGAAGAAGGGGCTCTAGATAGCAAAATCCATTCAAATGTTTAGGAATATTAGGGGAAATAGCAGCCCCTCGGGCAAGCAATGTCATACACATCACATTATATAAAATTTTGAAACCACAACAATTTTTGTAGAAGAAGCATATGTATTCAAATCTGTGTGCACGGGGAAGACAGAAAGTCCAATAATAGGTTCCTAGATTACGTGTCGAATAAGGAAGCAGTCTCCAAGCTATACATTCGTATCCATTAGGAAAAAGAACCTACGAAGAAGCAGTGTTCAATAGCAGCAGTGAAAATAACCTACGAAGAAGCAGTGTTCAATAGCAGCAGTGAAAATAACCTTATTTGCAAAGTAAATAAAGAGCTCAGTAGCAAAGCAAATGACACCAGAGTCATTCAACACATATCATACCAAATCAAACTCTGCAATAGACTAGTCATTATAGGGAAAACATTGATGATAAGTTTGACATTCCAAAATGAAATTCAGAATTTCCAATTTGTACCAAGCTGACATAAGCTGGGAATGACTATATTACATAATTAATTCACATCGTAACTAACTTAGCATCAATAAAATGAAAGGGCTTTCCAAATTCTTTTCCTGTACAATAAATACACTCTTGCAATGTGCTTTAAAAAATAAAATATACCTCGTTCTCAAATGGGAGCCGAACGACCGTATTTCCAAAAATGTACCTTATCCAAAATTTAAAAAAAAAAAAAAATTTACTTTTGATATGAGGACATATTCAACATGTACAATACAACTAGGAGTGTGCAAGAAGTGTCAATATCCAACCTCCGTTTCATAGCACTCGGAACAAACTAGTTATAGATGGTCAGCTCGTTTGTCTAGTTATGTTAATGATTCTAGGTTAGTACCAACATTGCTTGATGTCAAATGTCAGATTGCTGGGACTCACATCTATAAGAACAAAGCCGAAAACTGGATTCAAAGGGAACAACATCTTGTCAATCTAGAGTTAGAACACAGCATTTCTAAGTAGCTGTAAATTATTATTCAGATGTAGAAATTACCTTATGTCAAGGTCTTGTCCTTGGTATGATATAAAAAGAAAACAATTCCCTTTGGGTGATGGAGTCTTAAAAAGGACAACCCACTCTACAACACATTGAATTGTTCTGAAATTTTTGCATTGCATGTTGGACATAGAGAACCAATTGCACCTGTTTGAGTTCCAGTGTGGACAGGCTCATGATGGAACACATTTCTGCACCAGACACATATACTAGTAATCTGATTTCTGGCAGCTACATTCGGCGACAAAGCATCCTTTTCAAGCCAAAAAGATGAACCAAACCCTTGCCCAATCTCTGTGTTGTATGCCAAAACCTTGGAATTCTCTGGATGAGAATTTAAATTTTGTGAGTGCAGGAAATCGAATTCCACATGTTCAATGCTACCTGATCTCATCCCTTCTAAACCTGACATGCTATCATACTTCTCATTGAATCTAGATAACTCGTTTTCACCCTGTCCACAGAATTGATATCAGATATTAGGAAGAAAACAGACCTCAACTTCAATCATAATGGAACTAAAATAAGCCTAAGCCGCTAAAATAAACTAGGTTATTTCAATAAGAAGATACAAAGAAAAAAGAAAAAAAGAAAAAGAAAAAAAGAAAGGTCATTTACAAATCAACTAATACATTAAGGACTTCAATTTCCCCCAAGTAAGCAATATGCAGTTTCTTTAAAGAAGGCAGATCAAAATTGGCATGCATCTTGCAAACCATGCAATGAACATTCAATTCCTTGCACAACAATATCCGCAACAAATATAGGTAGGCTTTACCTAAGAAATATATGGTGCAGACAAATAAAAATAAAAAATTTAAAAGAAAATGGCGAGAAACAAGAAAGGAAAGCTATTTACCCGCGGTTACAGCTGTTATTAAAATTTTGAAAGTAAATTGGGACAAGGAAAAGAATGGAATAACTAACTAAAGCAAATATCAAGAAGTAATATCAGTTCATCACATATCAAGACATTTTCACCCTTCTTTCTGTCAACATACTGCATTCAAGATGGATCAAAACTCATACCTTATTTGGAATTATATTGAAGGTGGGAAAACTGCTTGAAGATTGCACCAGGTCGGTTGAATTATCAACAAAACCACTCCGCAAGGCATTTTCTTCATCAGTTCTCCAAATATCACTAGCCATGACATCCTCATCAAGTTGTTTATTTCTACTGCCAAAACCAATCATTAACTTTTCATTCCCAGAACAGTCAACCTCTTCTATTCTGGGCTCCTCCCAAACTCTGTCAGGGTAAACCTTATTCAAATTATTTCCAGAACCAAATGTACTGTTACAAGAAAGACCAAGAAAAAGATTTCCAAAACCTCTTTCCTCTTGAGACTCAACCAGTCTGCTAGCACTAACCCTACTTACATTAGTTTCAACACTACCTGTTTGTTCAATCCCAATGTTAGTCATAGCATCAGCATTTAGACCTATGTGAGTGTTCTCAAAACCAAGAAATGGATTAGTATTCCTAGAATTTTGAACTTCAAGTTTGGGCTCCTCCATTGAGCTAGTAGAAACATTGCTCAAAATATATACATCATTACAGGATTGCCCAATACAAGACCGAGCAAGTAGATCACTTTCAGAAACGCCTTCCTGCTTGGGTTCCTCCACTGTGCCATTGTTGACCCTAGTAACTTTATCAGTGACACTGAATGATTGTTGATTCCCAGATGAAACAAGTGAACAAAATTCAAGAGTACTTCCCTGCTTAGTGCTAGTCAGAACATCTTCATTTGGTATACTGTGACTGCTGCCAAAAACAAGTTCACCATTCCTAAAGCTTTGAAGTCCTTCAAATTTAGGTTCCATTTCTCTTCTAGAGACCTTATCAGCAAATTCTTCAACACCACAGGTTTGCTCATAACCAGATATATTCAATAAGCTGCTCTTACAATCTTTTTCTAGCCAAGGTTCCTCCATCATGCAAGTAGATTTATCTTCAATAACACATTTCTCCTTCCAATGGGGGATAAGCGAGCAGCTTTCAGAACTTCGCTCCTGCTCAACACCAATCCCAACATCCTCATGTCTTCCAGCACCACTGCCGCTGAAGCCAATCATTTGCACATCATCTTTGCCACAACATGTTTCCTTATAACAAGATGGCACAAGTACACTACTTTCAGGACCCATCAGCCCAGACTTTGTCACTATACAAGTTGAAACCCCATTTATGTTATTAGCATTGCTATGTTTTTGCCCATCACTTACTGGAACAAGTAGACAGACATCGGCTCTACTTTGCTTCTTCACTTTGGTCAGAATATCCTCGTCCTGTCCAGCACAACCGCCATGAAAACCAGATGGCTCATTATTTACGGAACTCTCCCTATCGAGTTTGAGCTCTTCTATTGTGTTATTAAAATTACTAGTATCATTCAAATTTTCAATCCCACACATTTTTTCATTTTCATAAGGAGTAAATAAACCACTTTCAGAACCTACGTCCTGATTGGGATTCTTTGCATTAGCAGAAACCTCATTCACATTGATTTCAACACCACATGTTTTTTTGTTTGCAAAAGGAGAAAAGCTTTCCAAAATTCTTTCTTGACCCACAAAACACCTATTGGCAGTGCGGTCAAGAACATTTGTTGGACCAGAAGTTCCACAATCACCATTATTCTCATTATTAGACATGGCAGCTTCAGAACCCAAACAAAAATTAAAATTTTCAGCAACGGCAGTAGCCTCCTCTATACTTCCTGGATATTCATCAGTCATCCTGCAATCTCTATCCTGCTCAACAAAAGATTCTTCAGCTGAAGTTTTTTCGTTTTTGTTAACCCTCATATCATCTTTGTTATTAGACAGAAAATCAAGTTCATGATCAAACTTGTTGGAATGAGTTTCTACATCAAAATCTGCTTTATTGTGGAGAGAAACAGAGTTCAGTTCATCATCAGCTTTGGCATTAATAGTTTTTGCCACTAGATCACTGTCATCCCCAATTGATGCTTGCACCATAGACTCCCTTGGAGGTGCCCCACCCAAAGGTACAGGGTCCATAGTATTTTGCATATTCAAAACTCCCGCTGCTGCGTCAACACTCTTCACATGGTTTTTCACGTGGGCTCCAACATGGCCATTGTAACGCTTCCATTCAATAAATGTCTTATGGCAGAACTGGCACTCATATTTTCCGTCTTTGATAATTACCCCGTCGGAGACAGTTGCATGAAATTTAGATCTCTTTCTCCTGTGACATGAAAACTGGTGGTGCAATAAATCATCCTGCACATCAAAAGTCATGGTGCACTTGTGGCAATTTAAAGTCTCCCCTTGGACTTGTCCTGGATTTCCAATATTTGAAGTGACTTGCTTCTCATGGTCACTAAATATACAAGTTGTGGGTGATGGTGAATGGCAAACAAGGTCTCCCCTTTTATTGTCTTCTTTAACAGCAAGATTTGCAGCCTGTGGCATATGCAGGAAATAAAAATGAGAAACTGATGAAAATATCACAAATATACCAACTTACATTTCCAGAAACCATGTTGCAGGTCACCTGAATATTTTCATCATTGTGACCACAATTTGGCAGGTTTGCATCTTGGACTCTAGAAAAGGAGAGCAAATATGAAGAGACCTCCTTGCATGATGCAAATTGTCGTCCATTAGGGCTGGGTATCAGCAAATTAGGGATACTGTCTTAGTAAGAACCACATAATCATATTTTTTTTAATAAAAAAAAAAAAAAAAAAAAGAAGCAATATTTTATAATAAATAGAAAAGGAGTAGCTTTTGACCTAAAAAATTTACATTCCTTGATAATCGTTTATAATATAAGGCTCTGATTGAGCAAATATGTATGCAATTAGAAATAATAACAGAGAGCATGATGGAACCAAGTTATTAGATATGAAAACAGATTGTAGATGCACCAGAAGAGTAGTTTGCATAGAAGGTAATAGACAAAGTGGCCGACCAACACTAACATGGAATGAAACTAGTATAAATGATTTTTAAAATTTAAATATAATAGGAGAAATGGCTTTTAGCAGAAAAGAATGGACGAGAATTTATGTGACTGACCCTATTTTTGTGGGATAAAGGCAAGGATGATGAAGAGGAAATATAGAGCATGATGGGACAATTACAGCCATCTAACAGCAAGAGACATGTTTTAAATTCAACAAAATATGTGATGCAAGACAACCTAGATTTCTTAGTAAAGCCTTATAGGCCCATATAGAAAAGAAAAATGATGGTTAAGTTAATAAAATAAAGGCATAAGGTTTAGATGCTCCATAACAATGGAATGTAAGCCTTAGGTTCAAATTCTTATAATAAAAAGGATTGTGAACATCCTAGATAAAGAAAAAAGAAATTAGAAAAAAAGAGTGGGAGGGAGAAAAAAGGAAGGAGACCCTTGTGTAAAGGCTGAATGAGAAGTGAGAATCATACTCAAACTAATTGACAACCCTCACTGTTCAGCAACAAAAACAACCATTCTTTAAAATGTACAATCGAAATACAGATGTTGGAAAACCCTATTATCACACATGAGCCTTAAAAGTAAAGGCCACTTGAATAGTAATTACACAGAACTCAAATTCCACTTAGAAAGTATAAAACATATGGAGTAAGTAACAAAAAATAGGCTGAAGGGCAACACTGAAAATCCAACATTAAGTATAGAATTTGAAAAGAAAAAAATAAATATATAAAAAACCTAAGGAGAACATTAACTTACAAACCCCAACAAAGAACAGGCGTTTAGTAAAACAATAATCAAACACATAATAACCCAAACACCAAACAATCATAAAAATTAAGTTGATAAGACACTCATATACTAAAGCTAATAACCAAAATAATTAGTCCAGACTCTTGCCACTGCAACTCTTCAAAATAATTGGATCCCGCACTGATCCTTGCTTCTTTGGTAATCAAGTTTGTTCCAAACTTGATGGCAAGGGTTCAAGCCTTGGTAGATGACGAAGAATAATGAGAAGCCCATATTTCCTAAATTTAAACTGGCCCCATACTGTAACACAGAATTGATTCTAATATTGACTAAAGAAACCAGAAATTAGATATATCAGATTGAAGTATGTACCAATCCAGAAATTAGGTTCAGTTGTGCTATATGTATCTAAACCACAAGGAAAAGAAGCATGTTTGAGGGGTGACTGATGACGTCAAGTTAGTCCATCTTTAATGGAAGGTCTATTGGAAAACAGGATATTAACTTTGGTCTACAGGAAAATAAAAACATGAGAACGGGGTAGGTGAAATTGTAGATAAAAATAAATAAATAAAAAGATGTAAGTTGTTGAAGCTAAAAGAAAAGACCTTGAGTAAGTTATTCAAAATGGTACTAACACAAGAGACATTGACATGGTTAGTGTATATATGCATCCCAAGTGTTTGAATAGATCTATTAGTGGGAGGAAATGTTTAGACATAACACAAGGGAAACTACAGTATGTGACTTCAATGGCTCTTTAAAGAAGATACAGAAGGTAAAAGAGAAAACATTGTATCACCAGGCCAAAAGAGAAACAGACACGTGCTCAGAGAGAGAGAGAGAGAGAGAGAGAGATAACTTGGGGGTTTTCTAGATTTGGAATGATAGAGTAATTATAAAGTTTGCAATTGGTTATTGCCTTGTAATAACAAACGCATGCTCCAAAGAGAAACAGACATTAAATAAAATTCAAAAGTGGAATAAATATAATCCAATAAAAAAAATTTATCTTAGAAAGGTTGGCAGAATAAAATATAAAAATTCGAAAGTAATAATAGAAGAGTATAATCTACATCATGGGTTAATGGTACAAGCTATATGCATTGGGAGACAAGAAAGAGCAAGGGAAACAAACATCCAAGAGCTAGATAGTGGTACTTAAAAGGGGAAAATGTAGTTCAGCCCAATGGTATAACTTCCCCATCCTCAAAGAGGAGGGGAGGGTTTCGAGCCCGGGTATGGGCAAAAAAGTGTGTGTGAGTGGGTGGGTGTGTTTCTTGACAATGTAAAATAAAATAAAATAAAAAATGTATTTCTTCTTAATAACAAGCGACCAAATAAGGAAAATGGATTTCAAATGAGGAACTCAAAGTAATGCGTAGCAATAAAAGAATGACAAAAAAGTGTCATCAGACAATTTTAAGGGGAGTGGGCCAATGGGCCAATTTTTTAAAAAATAAATAAATAAATAAAAAATTAGTGTAGGAATGAAGAGGTTGAGAAAGCAATTAGAACAAGAAGAGCACATCATAAAGCTTTATGTGAACAGGTAAGAATTGAAGAAAATTTTGGAAGGCATAAATTAACTAAAAATGAAACTAAAAAGACAAGAAGGATGCTAAGAACAAGGGATAATGATTTATATTTGTAATTATAAGGATGGCAACAAAGATATAAATAAACTTGCTAGATAATGGAAATAAAATGTAGATACACAACTATGTTAAGCATATTGAAGGTAAAGATGAGAGACTATTAGTAAATAGAATGAGACTAAAGAACAATGAAAAAATTATTTTCATAAAAAAGTCCCTGAAGATCATGTACAGAACTTGATAAAACTAGCATTATTAAAAACCACAGTTTTTTTCTGAAAAGTAGGGTAGTGGAGATAAAGTGGCCAAGATAAACGAGAACAGGAAAGATTGTAGAATATGATTGAATTCCTATTGAATTTTGCAAGTATTTGGGTGATGGAAGAGCAGTTTGGTAGACTAATTTGTTTAATAATATCTTAAAAACCCTGTTACATAGACTCCACTGTTAGATAGACTCTCCTATGTCCTTTCACGTACCCATGCTGACACAACACGACATGGGTATGGCTACAAGATGTGTGTCCGATACAAGAGTCCAAATCAGACACCCAAATCCTTCACACTGCATGATTGAAGAAGAAGGAAAACTCAAATTAATAGCGGAGATGGGTTTCCTTAGATAGGAAATCTTTTCTTTTCCCACAGCCCATTTAATTTGAGTAACAATTGTGTATATTCTTACAAAACAATAAAATTGAACATTATACCATTATTAAAATGTAAGGTGTTTAAATGCGTAGTACATGTCTATGTACCCATATCCAACTTTTAGACACACATATCCATATCCTAAGATATAGGATTTGAGGTTTGAGGTCCGACACTTACACACCCGCACATTCTTACAAAACAATAAAATTGAACATTAATAACTGTGTAATACATGTCTATGTACCCGCATCCAACTTTAGACGCATATCCCCGTATCCTAAGATATAGGATTTGAGGCCCGACACTTAGACACACACCCGCACCCGATACACTTACCCAAGTCCAGATAACTTAGCTTAAAACTAGGAAGATGCCTGATGAATGGAGGAAAAATCCACCTCTACCTATATATTAGAACAAAGAAGACATCAAAAGTTGCACCAGTTACCTGGTATTAAACTTCAAATCATATAAACTAACGTTGAAAAAGAAAAATGAAGCAACCACTAAGACACAAGATAACAGGACTGGATAAGAAACTTAATTTTTTGCCTAGAAGTTTTAATACGGAAGTTATTTTGGAACTAAGGTGATCGTAGAAGAATATAAAATGAAGAAGAAAGAGCGGCAAATGGAATTGGTGGACTTTAGAAAGAGCATATGAAAGAGTCCTTAGGGACATAATGTGAAGGTTTTGAAACAAAATAATTATTAATTAATTAGATTATTGATATTATCAAGGTCATGCATGTATGATAGTCCTAACTACTGTCAAAATAATGCAAGGAGAAAAAAGTCAATTTTTAGCGATAACAGAATTACGTAATTGATTTCCATTTAGTCATATCGTTTTACATTAGTTGTGAACAAGTTTACTAGACATTTTTAAGATGTCCCGTGTTGTTAATTATTTATGACAGTTGGAGAAAGGATTTATCCTGAGTTAGAAATGTGGAGAGATACTATAGAATTTAAATTTTAAATGCTATGCAGGACGCAATTGTAGCAAAAGTGAAAACAAGAATAAACATATAGTGAAACTGATGATTTTACCCCCCTCCCTCCCTCCTCCTTCCAACCAAAAAAAAAAATCAAAAGCTAAATATGAAAGATGACCATATATAACATTCATTAAAAAATACTTAACTTATTCTTTTAATCAAATCATTATCGCATAGGAGCAGGCCTAATTCACATGTAAACCTTTAGTTAACAGATTAAACAAGGTCAAGTTGTCAGATCAAACACTCTATACTAGATCCAAACCATCAGATTGGATTTGGACCACAATATAAGCCTTTGTTAGGCATACCTATGACCATTAAGAAATTTAAAAACAGGCATACCTATGACCATTAAGAAATTTAAAAACAAAACAAAACTCAATCATGTTACTAATTTGGACCACAATTTATGGAACTAAAAACCAAATCCACGTTCCACTATGCAAAAACATCAAGAAGCCTTTGACATAAGAAGAGCAAGACAACACATCCAAATTTAGACAACTCCCTTTAACTATAAAGTATGACATAATACGAACATATGTCGGATGTTTTAACTAATTCTGAAAAAAAATATATGGATATGGATAATGCATTAACATGAAATGTATACGAATATATGAAAATTTAGGGGAATCATTGTTTATCATGATATATACACATTTTATGGCATACCGTCATCTTTTTATGAATCTTTCAAATCTTATAAGTTGCTATTTCCTAACCATAATAGTGAAATTTACATTAGAAAACTGAAAATTAGGTTTGCATTAACAGGAATTCTGAAGCAAATTTAGTGCGACTAACCCTTACTACATGCCATTCTTTTTCTCTAAAGTTAAACCAACTATATGAAATCCTTGTTCCATTCTTCCGGATGATTGCTCTTTAATTATATACCAAAAATGCCATACCTTAATATTCAATAATGTTGGATGCCTTTCTCAACACACCAGAAAAGTATCAGACATGTTTTCAAAATTAGAAATTTACTTCCAAATCATGGATATATTTAGGAGATACTAAACATGTGTCTGCGAGTCGATATGAAAGTCATATAAGAAATGTCAGTATCCAATACGGGTACCTTGCAAAAGTTTGTGCTCCATAACATTCCACACTAACCAAAATATTGAAAACGTTATTTTTTCATTGGATTGAATCCATCTCATGTCATGGTTTTGTTATGTCATTAGAACTTAGTATTAGCAAATTTTGTAATAGAATACTTTTATTTTATTTTATCTATCTTGAATGTTAATTAAAGTCGTTAGGGTTAAATGTCACCTCGTGATCTAATTTTTTGAAGATGGTGATTAGAAGATCATGGCAAGGGTAAAAAAGTAAATTCATACTCTCAAATACCTAACTTAGTGTATTGTTTTGAGAATTCATATAATTGCCATTGAATTTTTAGACATATTTTAATTTAACTTTAATAAACAGGGGGTTTCAATATATCGATAATCGTCAATCGGTCGGCCCACATTGTTTGAGTTGTATCCATCAAACCATCAAGTGGATCGATCAAACCTTGCAAAAATCAGTTTGCTAATTGGTTCTAAACACAAGCCCTAATTGTCTCTAATCTAAAGCCTATATAAACACTTTTAGTCCTCAAAAACAATATATAAGAACATACTAACAGACAAAGAGCACAAAGATATCTAGAATATCTTTTCTTTGTTTTTCATGATCTAGGCGTATTGCATTGGATGACAAATAGCCTTTCTGAGTGTTGATTCGTGAAACCTATAAATCTTCAAAGGAGATCAACACAAAAATCATGCAAACAAAGACCAACGAGATTAGACAATTAGTAAAGGAGATCAATTACAGAAGAAGAAGCAGAATGCTTGATCAAGGGATTCGTTGATCGACATCAGCAAAGTTTGATGTAGATTACTTGGCGTGAGGCAGAATTAGAGGCGCTTAAGTGATTCTATGGATTTAGAATCTGATACCAAGAGTTGTATTACCTTTTCTTATAGTGGATTTGATCAGCTTGGCCTAGAGTCCTGTGATCAGCTTGGTGTTGTGTTCAAATGTATTTACTTAAAATGCTGTTATTTAACTCTCATTGACAACTGCTTGTTTATATATAGATACAGGTTTTAAATTTCAATTATAGTTACTTAATTTCCGAAAGACATATACATTCACCCCCCTTCAAATATAGTTGGGGACTTGGCATACGCATATAAGAATGTAGGATTTTAGTCCTTGCTTCAGGTTTATGTATCATCCCTCTTTTGCTGAGTTTGGAATCAAGATAACTATATGTGCTTGAAGTTCTCTAAAATAGTTGACCCAAATAATAAAGAAAAGGCAAGAACGAATAAAGAATTAATTGATAGAATTTTGCTTTCTTTTTTTTCAGATTGATTTACTAATACTGGACAATAAGCAGAGAAGAATATTCTACCAGCTCTCATACACTATACTGATGTAGGACAAGTGATTAAAAAGTAATGGAGAACAAAACTGATTTGTAATAGTGATGCTTACAAATGGTTTCTGGTGTTCAAAAGGTCATGAACAGCCTATAGATCTTGAAGTAAAAGTTGTGATGGTGACTTAATTTAAGGTTTTGAAAGATGTATTCAGCCCACTTTAGATCTAGTTGGGAACTAAGCGTAATCTGACATGTGAGAATGTAGGGTGCTGGCTATGTTACTTGGACTTGGGTATGTGTATCGGGGCGGTCCAGCGGATGTGTATCCAAGCGTCCGGCATATCAAATCCCCAAACGAAGGACACAGAGACACTGCTAAATATTCATATTATCTATTTTTTTACATAATTTTATAGAGATATAAATTTCTTTATAATACAGGCATTTAACTCGTTATGAAGCAATAATATAATAAAATTGAATCATTGGCACAGTTGTTAAAGGCTCAAGGTGCCAAAGGTCTCCTAGAGCCTAAGTGCAAGGTGCGAGCTTAATCAAAATAAGGCGCTTGTGTAATAATGCATATTAAAATATAAGTATATAAAGAATAATTAAACTATGCAACAAAAACATTTCAATATCAAAAAAGGAATTTTTTTTAACAAATCAATTTAATGGGTTAGGTAAATCAACATACATATTCTATTAGAAATGTATTCAAATAAATCAACGTACAATCGGAAGAATTCAAGATATGTGACACAAATAATATTTTTGATATATCAACTAAGAGGATCAGGTAAATTAATGCTTGTAAATCCTTCATATGCATTAAGTTCATTAACCAAATTAAAAAGCCTAAAAGAATTAAAAAAAAAATTATCATGCAAACTTTAAACTTATTTATCATAAATACTCAAATTCAAGCACTAAATGCAATTACTGCAAGTAATGAACCATAAAGTTATGAATTTTATAAAGTTGAACAATATGATCGATATTTAGATCATGAGAGGATTCTGAACAATTAAATTTAATACTCTTTAAATAAATAAGATAATGATAAGACATAAATGGCTAAAAAATAAAAGGCACGCTTTTTAGAGCCTGGAGCCTACTAAAAAGCGCAAGCCTAAGGGCGTTATGCGAGCTTGAGGCCTATACTAGGTGGAGGTGCTCTAGCTAAGCCTTGACGAGCCCATGGCTTTTTTGGAACCTAGGGGTACCTTTAAAAACAAATTCATTGAAAATACTTTTTAGGTGCATATCCAATCAAAAGTGTCAGACATAATGACATATATCTCATACCCATGTTCAAGTATAGTGTGTCCAACAGTGGTACTTCAACCACTTTTGAAGAGTCCATGTAACATAGGGTGTCGGTCCTTCCTTCAGGTTTATGCACTATCCCTAATTTGTTGAGTTAAGAATTAGGATAACCAAGATGTGCTTAACTTCTCTATAAAGTTGGCCCAAATAATAAAAAGTGATAGGTTGCTCAAATTATAAATAAAATAAAATAAAATAAATTACTAAATATGATGGGCAATTGGGCAGTAATTGATTATGGTGTTTTTAATGAAATTCAAAGGACAGGGGAAGGTAGGGATAATTAAGGCTAGCTAATATAGGATTCTTTTGATCAAATAGGGTTTTTTTTAGACAGTAACCTTTGAACAGTTTTTTTTAATATTTTTTTTTGCAAGTGAAACACATGAACAATTACAAAAGATAAGGAGACGTTTAGAAATTCCACCTAAAATTCAATAGGAATTTCCCCCTAAGTTAAGTTTAAATCACACGTGATGTAAGGCTTCAAAATCTTCTCTTCAAATTTCAAAACCCTGTAAAATGGAAAGATTACATAAATATTTATAAATTGCTATGCTTCACCTAAAAATATTAAGATCATCACTTTGAATTAGGAAAACATAAACTTCAATTATTAAGAGTATTATAGACCTACTAAGATACCATATGACTACATGAGATACAAATAAAAAAAAAAATTTGACCAAAAATAAGACCTATATAGCTGGTTTCACCACATGAGCAACAAAATGACTGCCTAGAAGATCTAAAAATAGTTGGTCGAGGAATAAGAAAAGACATGATGGTCTACCATTTGATGAAGTTTATGGCCATAATTAGATCTTGATGGTAAATAATAATAATAATTTAGCTTAGTGGTCCCCATATAGCTGGTATTAACAATTTATTTTTTATTTTTATTTTTATTTTTTTTTGAGTTGGTTAATAACGGAATTTCAAACCTCTAATAGCCACTTTGAGCTAACATCTGAGGTGTAAGAAACTAGGAAAAAGTAACAACAATGTTGGTGTGAGTGTGAGTGTGTGTGTCCTTAAGAGCAAAAAACTCTGTAAATGGATATAATATGCAGCTGAAGAGCTGCATAAGGTGTGCAGACATCATGGGTTCCTCAGAACCCAATCACTAGACTTTTAAGTAAAAGTGTACTGGATTCTAGGGAAATAGTATATATTTTCCATATCAAATTGAAAAGTCATAACCACTCGAGTGAATGAGACCAATCCCATCCTATATGTAGCACTACATTTGCATAACATAAGTTGAATTCAAATTGATATTCCGTTCTATCCTAGTGTTTCTTTTCTTCATCATCTAAGTACATGTTGATAGAACCCATTAAGCAAAGGAGTATTCAAGTCAAACTGAACAGCATTTGTCTGTACAAATTAATAACAGCACATATTTAAAATAAGAATTGAGACAGCAAACAACAATGCAGAAAAACCTTATGTATCGACGACAATTTAACCACACACGGCCTTCTTTCTTCTTGACACATAGCGAGAGTTTCCAACCTTTGGGCAATGTGTCCCCAAAACCGCTAGCATCAACAATCCTCTTCTTCCTCCTCCTACTCCCCCACTGCCCATTCAAACCCCCTAGAAACCCTAACAATGCCTCTTCATTGTCCATACCCTCAGTCCTCCTCTTCAATTCCGGAGCGTATGGATCCTCCAAATTTGCCAGAGCTCGCAAATCCAAGGCGACACCATTCTTGTTTACAATCTCCTTATCCCTGTCCTCAACATTGTGATGCACAACAATGTCCCTCATCACATCATTTCCGCCGGCAGCCTCCAACTCCACCGCCATCACCGCCGCTGCAGTCTCGTTCTTCCGCGGCCTCCCTCTCTTCCTTTTCGTTCCACTAATATGACCTACATTGGACGGTTCTTTTTTTGGTAAGTGACCTACATTGGACAATTCAGGCAACGATTGACTATATTCGACGCGAACGGGGATTAATTCGTGGCCGTCAGTCTCCGACACGAATAATTCCTTCAACAGACCAACGATTCTGCTGTTCTCTACTCGTTCAGGGTCGTTGTTGTCAGCGAAATCGGGAGTGCGGAGGTGAGGAGTGCGGCGGCGAACGGCGGTGGTGGTGGCTGATGCGAAGGCGGTTTCGGGCTTGCGAGGGGCGAGGCGAAGGCGAGAGTAGGTCTGCTTGCGGCTGCCGGCTGACTCGTTGAAGACGGAGCGGTCGATTTTGGGGATGACGACGTCGTCACAGCGGCGGGGATCGAATGAGGCGTCGGAGCAGAGGGAGAGAGCGTAGAGTTCGGCTTGAGAGAGGAGGCGGAGATCGACGGTGCGTATTGACTCCGGCGAAAGGTGGTCGGAAGGTGAATCCTCGGCCATCGGAAGAATGAGATACGGTGAATTTATTCAAGAATTGAGAGGGAGAGGGTTTATACGAAGTATAGAGGGAGATCTAGATTGAAGTCGCAACTGTTTCGTAATTTATAGAGAGAGAAAAAGAGAGGATTGATTTTTTATTGGTTTTAAAAGATTAAGCAAGTGTTTGTATATGCATGGACCCATTAGATGGGCTAGGCCCTGAGGCTCGAAACAGAAATAGAAGGGTAATAGACTAAAGCCCAACCCAAAACAGAAACTGGAATCCAATTGCCCGGAACGGCAAATCAAATAACGACTATAATGAGCTTCCCTTATCATAAGATTACATGGTCTCGAACAATCACAATTCAAAAGGAGATTAATCTGAGTCTTAATTCGGTGGCCGTGGTGGAGGAGAGCACAGGCACGACGGGTTTCTTCTAAACCATAGGAATTAACCTTTCTAGGATGGAGGTGTAGGTTCACGCAAGGACATAATTTTGACAACTCGAACATTCTCTAAAATTCTATGATTTTGCTCTATCCAAATGTGTGGTAGACGGATGAAGAAACAGCTATCTTTCCAATGTAGTTGCTACAATTCTTTGCTTTCAGATAGTGGGCTGCCCAAGAGATGAGGTTGTTCCAACTCAATTTGCCAACATGGAACCAATATTGGGCTTTGAATGAATGGCCATATTGGGACTGAAAATGGGGATGCAAAAAAAATTTTAAAAAACCTTCTATTGGGGCAAGAAAAGATCTTATTTGAAAAAAAATATATGATATTGTCTGAGAATATGGTCCCATGAGGGACTCCCATCTATCACAACTAGACAAGTAAGCAAAAATCTGAATAAAATTAACACATTCGCTTACGTATCAAGTTATGGTTGGCTGAAACCATGTAATCTTGGACCATGTAAAAATTTCTTCTTATTTAACTGATCTTCCCACTTTTGTTTTTGTTTCAAAGTTCTATTAAAAACCCTTTGCCCAAACTTGCAAGATTATGATTTTTTTATGGGGAAATGGATCCATTGGGCGGCTTGGGATTTAACAATTCTTGGTCTTTAATTTGCCCTTGTTGACTAAAAACAACTTACTCTACACAATTAGACAACTAATTTTGTACATGTTAGGGCAACATAGAAATATAGTATGTGCATAACTCAATTTTCTAATGACAATTTATAAAAACTGTTTTCTGAAAATTTAGACGTCGTTTGATAAAACTAAAAATTATAGTACTAAAAATTTTAAGAGCTGAATTTTAAGTGCAAAAAATTTTATGTAGTAATTAAAAAATAAATATTTTTATAATATCTTTTTGAATTTTCATTCAGTGATAAGTGATTTTTCTTGTTACTTAAAATTGTATCCCATTTTAAGTAGTACTTACCGTTTTCACTGATATTTAATTTACGTTATCAAATGCATTTAATTGAATAAGTATTTAATCCGTTAAAAATTAAGTGTTTGTGGGGATTCTTGAATATGCGTTAATATTATAAATAAAGAGTGATATCTAAATACAAGATACAATGGAGTCTCAACCCAAGTGCTCATTTTTTTTTCGTTCCCCTGGACTTCTATTTATAGTCTCAAACTATTTACCTAAATTTTTCAGTTTTTCAGATTTCCACCTAGAGTAGCCATCATGACCCTACATGCCCTGATAGGGACAATTTAGCCATTTGGCTCAAGAATAAATACATTTACATTAAATACACATCTTTTCAAAGGCGACAATAGTTGAGATTCATTGATGTGATGATCAGTGTTGCAGTCGGGACTTGTAATATCATTGATGGTGCTAGACTCGAACCCGAACCGAGTGAAGTGGTGGTGTGCCACGTGACTCAGTGGCTCCCTGCAAAGCTATATGTGTGTGTGCGCGCGCGTCACATCATCAATTTCCAGCTGAGCCCGTGGTCGTTTAATGTCAGTGTCAACCTCAGCGAACTCGAGGGCTTGGATTAATTACAGCAATATGTAGCTATGAATATATAATCTGCAATTAAATCTGGTTGTTGCAATATTATATAGTCTACTTCCAACTTTATTCTTGTGGTGGATATGTTAGGGTATGTTGCTTTTAAGTTACTGGTCCTCAGGCAACCATGTACTAGCTATTAGGAGTATTGTTTGTTTATTTTAACCATTTTATTTTTCCCAATCTTTTTTTTGGTTGGTCTGTTTGCTTCCTTTAGTCTTGTTGTCCATGTGCACCTAGTCTTCTTTTCACCAGACATGTCTATTTGTACAAGTCTCCCTCTGTCTTGCTCCCTCTCCCTCCCCTCATGTGCACTTAATTGCAACCTTTTATGTGATATAGTTTAACATGTCCGGAAACGACAAGTAAAACTATAAAAACTATAAAAAATTATTATACGGTTTCGAAATTATTAATCCTGACCAATTACGAAGTTACACATAAATAAAAAATTAACATATTGATTTATGTATCTCTTAATAAGTGATCCAAAACTATGTTATTTTAGTATCCAACATAGAGCCCAAAAATAGTCGCACAAACCCTAATATAGGGCTCATGTCAGACTCTGCTTTTGTGCATCAAAATGAGTCATGCATAATTCTGAAATAGGGCTCAAGTTAAACTTTGTATTTGTACACCAAATATGTGGTTTTTGGCGTTCAACACAGAGCCCAGAGCGAGTCGCACGAAGCCCTAACGTAGGTCTCGTGTCCGACTTTGTATTTGTGCATCAAAACGAGCTACGTAGAGTGACATAGGGCTCTAGTTGGACTCCATGTTTGTGCACCAACAATATTGTTTTGGTGCACAACACCAGACTCGAAGCGATTGGTATGTAACCCTAACATAAGGCCAATTGGAGACTATGTTTATTCATTGTACCTAAATTTAAATAAGATGATTTGGTATATAAAATCTTTCAAACTAGAAGGATAAAAAGTAAATACCTTTTTATGAGTGATGTGATGAATGTCAATTTTCACACAAGCTCAAATTATTAGTATTATCTAGTTAAGCACCATTTTGTGAAGTTGATTAGAAATTGAATAATGACCATGTAAATTAGTGCACTTTTGTCCCCCACTAAGAGAGACTGTTGAGTGAAAATAACTTGACAAGATAAAATTCACCACAAATCAAGGACACTTTAATCCCACCAAATATATTTGTTTGATCCAGCCGCCCCCAACTTTCCCTCCCACCTCTCTCTAACTTTCTCTCTCTAACCCCTTCGTCTTTTTCGTCACTCTGACTCCCTGCTACCCCTTATAAGAGTGAAAAGATAATGATTGGCTCTCATGAGTGCAATAAATTTAACGTGTTTAAATAAGTATGTTTTGTGAATATTTTTTTTATGTTATTTTTGTTTTTCTTCTGTTAAATCTATTCATGTTGGGTTCGTTTCGAATCGCATAAGTAAATTTATTGTTTCTTCCGATTAAATTTCTGGTTTAAGTCAGTTTTGGTTTTTCCTGCCTCGATTTAATCTTTTTTACCTTGATTTAATTTTGTGCGGGGTTTTTTTGTGTGTCAGAGCACCTTGTGGTTGTAACTTTGGAGCGGTTGTTGTACTGATAGCCAGACTTTTCGATCTTTTTAGTTTGCTGCATTCTTTCATGAAGGTTCCGTTTACAGAGTGTTGGGCTCTATTTCTTCCATAAATTCGAAACATGTTCTTTATTTATTTGTTTTACTTCAAGATTTGTATATATTTTTTTTACTTGACTTTATATTTTTGAACTATCATTTTAATTTTTGGCTTTTGTGTCCATGAATGACAAAAAAAATAAAAAAATAAAAATCCCACCAAACATGGAATAATTAATAATTGTGCACCTAATTTTTGGGAGCATAAAAAATAATCCACTTAATTGCTCTGGATGTGACAGTGGACCTATCTCTTCCTAAAGATGTCACAAATCTAGTCATATTATTCACAAACCAGGTGCCCAGTAACAATCAAACACACATTTCAATTGGTTGTCAGACATATTCCTTTGTTTTTTACCCTTGGAACATGAGAGTAAATTGGCAGTTACATGGGTATATTCTATTCTATGTGGTATCTAATATATATATATATATAAAAAAATAATTTTTGGTAAGCATATCTATGTGTAGAGTAGGGTTGGGACTCCGTGAGTCCGTCCAAAAATTTTACTAGTATGGCAAGGTGCTTGGAACTATGGAATGAAATTAGGTTTAAATTTTAGATTTTAAATTTAATTTGTGAGGAATTTAAACAAATATTTTACTAACCTGAGCAGCCTGAGGAATTTGAAATTCAAAAAAATTACATAATTTTGTATTTTTAATGTTATACATTGCTTATGTGAAATAAAGTTAATACTACATGATTTAATATTTAGAGTCGAATATTCACCTAACTTGTACACACTTGCCTTAAAATTATCAATTATAATAATTGAATTTTACTTGAGGAAACAAAATAATAAGGATATAAGATTTGAGTTATTTCCGTATCCTAATAATAAGGAATTTTCAACTATAGATTTGAGTTAAGGAATTTTTAATTTTCAATTAAAATTAAAATTAAGATTAAAATTTTCAATTATATTAATTGAATTTTACTCAAGGAAACAAAATAATAAGGATTATAAGATTTGAGTTATTTTCGTATCTTAATAAATCAAAATTTTCAATTATAGTGATTGAATTTTACTTGAGGAAACAAAATAATAAAGATTATAAGATTTGAGTTATTTTCGTATCCAGAATTTTATAAGATTTGTGTAGTTATATATACTTTAACAAAATATTAATAAAAAATTAATGTTTATTTAATAGTAAGATATTATAATTTGGGATGATTGGACGAACTCGAAAAACTCCTAAAATCCGAATAGCATAATCTGAATTAAAATATGATAGTTCCTCAAAATTTGGACTTGACATGAGTGTAAATATTAAAACCTTAAATTTAGCATGAGCTAACCCCTTACAATTCATTGAAAATTTAATTTTAAGTGGTACTCCATATTTAGTTACTTGTATTAAACTATGAGCATGCATGTGCATTCAATAAATAAAAATAAATAAATAATCATTAAGAAAAAAAAAAAAAAAAAAAAAAAACAAAGAGGAGGAATAACGAAAGAACATAATCATTGAAATTTTTTGATTATGCGCGTAA